CACGGGATACGCAGGAGAGTCGATCAGGTACGACTCTCCTGCGTATCCCGTGGTGCTGGGGCTTCCTTGGTTAATCGCCCATGACCCCACCATTTCGTGGCAACAGAGGGCTCTCAAGGAGTGGTCTGACCAGTGTGTTGGGCGATGTCTAGGTGTTTCCGTGGGGGCGACCACGGTGGAGAGTCCGAACCAAGTGCCCGCAATGCACATTTCCCCTGAGTATGAGGACTTGGCACTAGTGTTTAGCAAGACTAGGGCGACGCGATTGCCACCTCATAGACAGGGAGATTGTGCGATAAACCTCCAGGCAGGTACGGCACTTCCGCGGAGCCATGTGTATCCTCTGTCTCAAGAGGAGACGGCGGCTATGGAGACATATATAGCCGAGTCCTTGAGACAAGGATACATACGGTCCTCCACTTCCCCTGCGTCCTCGAGTTTCTTTTTTGTGAAGAAGAAGAATGGAGGGTTGCTCCCGTGTATTGATTATCGTAGTCTCAATCAGATTACTGTTAAATACAGTTATCCTCTTCCTCTGATTGCGACTATGACGGAATCATTACGCGGGGCGCGTTTCTTCACAAAACTGGACCTCAGGAGCGCCTACAACTTGGTGCGCATTAGGGAGGGAGATGAATGGAAGACAGAATTTAGTACCACCTCGGGTCATTATGAGTATCTCGTCATGCCATACGGGTTAATGAATGCTCCTTCGGTCTTCCAATCCTTTGTGGACGAGATCTTCCGGGACCTGCATGGGCAGGGTGTGGTAGTGTACATTGACGACATCCTAGTGTACTCTTCTACACGAGCCGAGCATGTAGCCCTGGTGCGCCGAGTGTTGGGTAGGCTGTTGGAGCATGACTTGTATGTCAAGGCAGAGAAATGTCTCTTTTTCCAGGAGTCCATCTCCTTCTTGGGTCATCGGTTGTCCGCGTCAGGGGTGAAGATTTTACATTTACATTTTAGTCATTTAGCAGACGCTCTTATCCAGAGCGACTTACATTACACTTTTTTTAATTTTTCATACTGGCCCCCCGTGGGAATCGAACCCACAACCCTGGCGTTGCAAACGCCATGCTCTACATCCCTGCCGGCCATTCCCTCCCCTACCCTGGACCAATTGTGCGCCGCCCCATGGGTCTCCCGGTCATGGCCGTCTACGACAGAGCCTGGATTCGAACCAGGATCTCTAGTGGCACAGCTAGCACTGCGATGCAGTGCCTTAGACCACTGCGCCACTCGGGAGACTAGATGGAGGTTGACCGTGTTTCAGCCGTGCGTAATTGGCAGACTCCAACCACCGTTAAAGAGGTGCAGCGGTTTTTGGGTTTTGCTAATTACTACCGGAGGTTTATCCGGTAGCAGCTCCCATCACTTCCCTGTTGAAGGGGGGCCCGGTGCGTTTGCAGTGGTCGGCTGAAGCGGACAGGGCGTTTGGTAAACTGAAGGACCTGTTCACTTCGGCTCCGGTGCTGGCGCATCCGGACCCCACTTTACCGTTCCAGGTAGAGGTGGACGCGTCAGAGGCCGGTATTGGGGCAGTGCTGTCGCAACGCTCAGGCACGCCTCCTAAGCTCTGTCCCTGCGCTTTTTATTCTAAGAAGCTCAGCCCGGCGGAACGGAATTATGACGTAGGGGACAGGGAGCTGTTAGCCGTGGTTCAAGCTCTAAAGGTGTGGAGGCATTGGCTTGAGGGGGCTCAACACCCTTTTCTCATTCTGACTGATCACCGTAACCTGGAGTACATCCGGGCAGCTAGGAGATTGAACCCTCGTCAGGCTAGGTGGAACATGTTTCTGACCCGGTTCGTGTTTAAGATAACCTACATCCCACGGTCCCAGAACGGTAAGGCAGACGCCCTGTCCAGGCGGTATGACACAGAGGAGAGGTCCATTGAGCCCACTCCCATACTGCCGGAGTCTTGTCTGGTGGCACCGGTGGTATGGGAGGTCGATGCGGAAATTGAGCGGGCGTTACGCACCGACCCTACTCCCCCAGAGTGTCCAGTGGGTCGGACGTACGTGCCGCTCGAGGTCCGCGATCGTCTAATTTATTGGGCTCATACGTCACCCTCCTCTGAACATCCAGGTATTGGCCGGACAGTGCACTGCCTTAGTGTTAAGTACTGATGGCCAACATTGGCTAGGGACGTGAGGGTTTATGTCTCCTCCTGCTCGGTGTGCGCACAGTGTAAGGCGCCTAGACACCTGCCCAGGGGGAAGTTACAACCCCTGCCCGTTCCACAACGGCCGTGGTCTCACCTCTCGGTGGACTTTGTAACGGACCTTCCCCCCTCTCAGGGGAATACCACTATTCTGGTCGTTGTGGATCGGTTCTCTAAGGCCTGTCGTCTCATCCCAATGCCGGGTCTCCCTACTGCCCTACAGACTGCTGAGGCTTTGTTTACCCACGTCTTCCGGCACTACGGGGTTCCCGAGGATATAGTGTCTGATCGGGGTCCCCAATTCACCTCTAGAGTCTGGAGGGCGTTCTTGGAACGTTTGGGGGTCTCGGTTAGCCTTACCTCTGGGTTCCACCCTGAGAGTAATGGGCAGGTGGAGAGAGTGAACCAGGATGTGGGTAGGTTTCTAAGATCATATTGCCAGGGCCGGCAGGAGGAGTGGTCGGGGTATATCCCCTGGGCAGAGATGGCTCAGAACTCTCTTCGCCAATCCTCTACTAACCTGACCCCTTTCCAGTGTGTGTTAGGGTATCAGCCGGTTCTGGCACCATGGCATCAGAGCCAGATCGAGGCTCCTGCGGTGGATGAGTGGTTTCGGCGCTCGGAGGAGACGTGGAACGCTGCACACGTCCATCTGCAGCGGGCCATCCGTCGGCAGAAGGCGAGCGCCGATCTCCACCGCAGTGAGGGTCCAGTATACGCACCTGGAGATCGAGTCTGGCTCTCGACTCGAAACCTGCCCCTTCGCCTGCCCTGCTGGAAGCTGGGTCGGCGGTTTGTGGGGCCATTTAAAGTCCTGAGGAGACTGAACGAGGTATGCTACAAGTTACAACTGCCTAATGATTATCACATTAACCCCTCGTTCCATGTGTCTCACCTCAGGCCGGTGGTAGCTGGTCCACTCCAGGACAGTGAGATAAGAGAGACTCCCCCGCCCCCACTGGACATCGAGGGGGCTCCGGCGTACTCCGTCCGGTCCATCGTGGATTCGAGACGTCGGATGGGGTGTCTACAATATCTCGTGGAGTGGGAGGGGTACGGTCCGGAGGAACGGTGCTGGGTGCCTAGGAGGGACGTTTTAGATCCATCCCTCCTGACTGAGTTCCACCGTAGTCATCCTACGCGCCCTGCTCCACGTCCTCCTGGCCGTCCCCGAGGCCGGGGTCAGCGCACGGCTGGAGCCCCACGTCAAGGGGGGGGTACTGTCACGAATTCCGCCGAGACTGCTCCTCCTCCTTGTTCGGGCAGGCTTCAGCGTTCGTCGTCCCCGGAGTACTAGCTACTACCGCTTGATGTTCTCTATGTTTGTTTGGTTTGGTCTTGTTGATGCACCTGTTTCGTCTTAGGTATTGATTAGGTCACCTATAAGTTTCCTTTGGTTTTGTTTGCAGTTGTGTGTTGTTGTCACCTTTGCCAAGATAATCCATCCACCTGACAGGTGTGGCATATCAAGAAGCTGATTAAACAGCATGATCATTTCACAGGTGCACCTTGTGCTGGGGACAATAAAAGGCCACTCTAAAATGTGCAGTTTTGTCACACAACACAATGCCACAGACGTCTCAGGTTTTGAAGGAGCATGCAATTGGCATGCTGACTGCAGGGATGTCCACCAGAGCTGTTGCCAGAGAATTGAATGTTCATTTCTCTACCATAAGCCGCCTTCAACGTCGTTTTAGAGAATTTGGCAGTACGTCCAACCGGCCTAACAACCGCAGACCACGTGTATGGTGTTGTGTGGGCGAGCGGTTTTCTGATGTCAACGTTGTGAACTGAGTGCCCCATGGTGGCGGTGGGGTTATGGTGTGGGCAGGCATAAGCTACGGACAATGAACACAATTGCCTTTTATCGATGGCAGAGATACCGTGACAAGATCCTGAGGCCCATTGTCGTGCCATTCATCCCCTGCCATCACCTCATGTTTCAGCATGATAATGCACGGCCCCATGTCGCAAGGATCTATACACAATTCCCTGGAAGCTGAAAATGTCCCAGTTCTTCCATGGCTTGCATACTCACCAGACATGTCACCCATTAAGCATGTTTGGGATGCTCTGGATTGACATGTACGACAGCGTGTTCCCGCCAATATCCAGCAACTTCACACAACAATTGAAGCGTGGGACAAAATTCCACAGGCTACAATCAACAGCCTGATCAACTCTATGCGAAGGAGATGTGTCGCTCTTCATGAGGAAAATGGTGGTCACACCAGATACTGACTGGTTTTCTGATCCACGCCCCTACCTTTAAAAAAAAGTTATCTGGGACTAACAGATGCATATCTGTATTCCCAGTCATGTGAAATCCATAGATTATGGCCTAATGAATTCATTTCAATTGACTGATTTCCTTATATGAACTGTAACTCAGTAAAATCTTTGAAATTGTTGCATGTTGCATTTTAATTTTTGTTCAGTATATTTATATTACGGACTCAAACATTGCTCGTTCTGATATTTCTTCGTTTTTTTCTTTACATATTGGGGTAATGTGTGTATTGTTTGGTATTACTGCACTGTTGGAGCAAGAAGCATAAGCATTTCGCTGCACCTGCGATAACATAATTTGTCTTTAGTTGTTGTCAATGCATTAGGCACACATTACTTTCCCACATAATAGTTTGTCAAGAATTATGAGAACTGCAGACAAATGCCGTAACTTATTATGTACATGCATAATTACACTAGATGCAGTCACTAGACTGCATCTCCTTTCAGAGCTGCGCTGATCGGTTTAATGGTAGACTTGTCGGTTTTTCATCTGTACTGTAGACTTAAGCAGTGTGTTGTGCTTTTCTTTCTTTTCTTTTAGACAGTGTTGAGCTCGTGTTGGATTCATCAGCCATTCCTGAATCAGGCACTGCCAAAGTGAGGTCTAGACCCACAGTCAAGCACTACATGGTAAGTTCCAATAACTCTGCATGATGTGTGGAAAAAAATCTATTTGATTCTAATATATACTTAAAATCTACATTTCAACACTGGAGACGGTGTTGCAGCTTTTATTGAGACTGCTGTTAAGCTTCTACAGTGCCTTGCAAAAGTATTCATCCCCCTTCACGTTTTTCCTGTTTTGTTGCATTACAACCTGTAATTTAAATGGATTTTTATTTTGATTTCATGTAATGGACATACACAAAATAGTCCAAATTGGTGAAGTGAAGTGATTTTTTTTCTCAAAATTTCAAAATGTTCAAAAATATAAATAACGGAAAAGTGGTGCGTGCATATGTATTTGCTATGAAGCCCCTAAATAAGATCTGGTTCAACCAATTACCTTCAGAAGTCACATAATTAGTTAAATAAAGTCCACATGTGCGCAATCTAAGTGTCACATGATCTGTCACATGATCTCAGTGTATATATACACCTGTTCTGAAAGGTCCCAGAGTCTGCAACACCACTAAGGAAGGGGCACCACCAAGCAAGCGGCACCATGAAGACCAAGGAGCTCTCCAAACAGGCCAGGGACAAAGTTGTGGAGAAGTACAGATCAGGGTTGGGTTATTAAAAAATATCTGAAACTTAGAACATCCTACGGAGCACCATTAAATCCATTATTAAAAATGTAAAGAATATGGCACCACAACAAACCTGCCAAGAAAGGGCCGCCCACCAAAACTCACGGACCAGGCAAGGAGGGCATTAATGAGAGAGGCAACAAAGAGACCAAATATAACCCTGAAGGAGCTGCAAAGCTCCACAGCGGACATTGGAGTATCTGTCCATAGGACCACTTTAAGCCGTACACTCCACAGAGCTGGGCTTTACGGAAGAGTGGCCAGAAAAAAGACATTGCTTAAATAAAAAAATAAGCAAACACGTTTGGTGTTCGCCAAAAGGCATGTGGGAAACTCCCCAAACATATGGAAGAAGGTACTCTGGTCAGATGAAGGAAAACACTATGTCTGGCGCAAACCCAACACCTCTCATCACCCCGAGAACACCATCCCCACAGTGAAGCATGGTGGTGGCAGCATCATGCTGTGGGCATGTTTTTCATCGGCAGGGACTGGGAAACTGGTCAGAATTGAAGGAATGATGGATGGCGCTAAATACAGGGAAATTCTTGAGGGAAACCTGTTTCAGTCTTCCAGAGATTTGAGACTGGGACGGAGGTTCACCTTTCAGCAGGACAATGACCCTAAGCATACTGCTAAAGCAACACTCGAGTGGTTTAAGGAGAAACATTTAAATGTCTTGGAATGGCCTAGTCAAAGCCCAGACCTCGATCCAATTCAAAATCTGTGGTATGACTTAAAGATTGCTGTACATCAGCGGAACCCATCCAACTTGAAGGAGCTGGAGCAATTATGCCTTGTAGAATGGGCAAAATCCCAGTGGCTAGATGTGCCAAGCTTATAGAGACATACCCCAAGAGACTTGCAGCTGTAATTGCTGCAAAAGGTGGCTCTACAAAGTATTGACTTTGGGGGGGTGAATAATTATGCACGCTCAAGTTCTGTTTTTTTGTCTTATTTCTTGTTTGTTTGACAATAAAAAATATTTTGCATCTTCAAAGTGGTAGGCATGTTGTATAAATCAAATGATACAAACCCCCCAAAAAACTATTTTAATTCCAGGTTGTAAGGCAACAAAATAGGAAAAATGCCAAGGGGGGTGAATACTTTCACAAGCCACTGTAGGTGTTGTTCTCCTAACACTTCAAGATGAACATCACATGGAATTTGTTATAGGGCTTGTCTTTAGTTGTTGTCAATGCATTAGGCACACATTACTTTCCCACAAGTCTGCTGAATTGTGAATTATTTCTCAACAAGGCCTTTGTAGTACCTGAAAGAGAAACTGCATTGCCTCATGAAGGGCATTCCTGTAATCATTGATCACTGTGACCACCTCAGAGTCAGACCCATTACTCACACCTGGTCAATCTGAAAGCATACTTTTCTAACCGGCAGATTTCACTTGCACAGGCTATTCACATGTATAAAGAGGGAGTAACCGAAGTTTACTTGCAGGTAGGCTATCCATGTGACGAGGGTCAATTTGTTTGCGTGTTGACCCAGTCTTCTCAAGTAATTTCTGTCCTCAGAAATTCTCACCCTATTTACTTAGACATTCTCATGCGGGCACAATAACTATAAGAATGTCACCTTGGTTCACACAATCTTGGGTCTTGTACTGTCTGCCACAATGATGGCACCTAGCTCATTTGCCCTCGATTCAACATGGTGTCCCTGTAGGTGATCCAGAAAAGCTCAGCCGTATCTGATTTTTTAAACAAGTTGTACTATGTTGTTATTTTGTTGTAGGTATGAAAGCCTACCTCAGAAAGGGAAGTGTCCTATGTGACTGCTCCTCTGGTATGTGTTAGATGTGCCACACCCAGCAGCACAGGGGTTGGACTGCTCTGACTGACTGCTCTGATTTTCACCAGTGAGTCATGGAAAAGAAACATAAGGAATTAAGCCGGTTCAGAAACTGCATTTAATGCCGCACCCTTCGCCCCTTGTGAAATGTTCATGCCTTTGCAATGAGCTGCCTGCTTCAATGAATAGTCTGCAATCATGAGATATTTAAGGCATGACATAAGGGAGGTGTTCTGTTCACATTAGATGTTTTAAAGATACAGTGTAACCGAGGTTGTTGAGAAAGGACCACACCTGAACCTTTTCCACTAATAACTTAATATTTCCACAGCTGAATGAAAGTTATTTATGTGTCCGCTGCCTGAACTTTGGAGTATTGCGTGTACCATGTGAAAGTTCTAAACAAACCAAGTGGTGGTGGCCTAACCATCAGGCCAATGGCAGTAACTTGATTACAGTTTACAGTTACAGGGGTGAACCTAACTTTGGATTGTTTTGCTAGATTAGAGGCCCTCAGGCCCAGTATTGGGTAGTTACACTGGTCAATGTGTTTTTTGGTCTGTAAAAGTGACTTCCAGTCCCTGTGTAGGGTGATTCTGACCACAGTCTATCAGATTTGGAAGGGCATATCTCTGTTCTGTCTGCAGGGCATGTGTGTGTCAACACAGTCTGTGTTTATTTATAGTGGTGTTTGGGCTGTGATGAGAACGGTCAGTCACACAGGCAGGCAGCAACATGACGGCACATCCCTTTTTCTCAGAGGCAGTCACACCCACTTAACGTTTTCTTACGTGAAGAGATGGGAGTGTTGCCTGTGCCTTGCCCATACAACGCCCTGCCTGTGGATGAGGCATGACAGTGTGGCTACAAAGGCAGTAATGTCGTGAAAAGGGCCCAGAACTGGGCTAGTAAGCTTCAGCTAGTGCCTAGCAAGGGGTTAGATACAGTATACCAATGGAAAATATATTGCTGAATCATTTCAAGTGGGGTGCTCAGTGCCCAAATGAGACTATGTTAGAGATCCTGTAGCCTCAATCTACACAAGGAGGCTTTGCCGTTATAGTAAAGGACTCCAACTGCTGGGAAGACTAAAAGGAATTTTGGATTTAATGTGCCTGGCCTTCCTCTGTTTTTGGTAATTGACACTACTTGTACACTGATGTACTTGTTTGTTTCCTGAGTGTAAGGTTTAGTAAATTAATAGTTTTTGCATCAGTGGTGTCATCACGCAACAAACATGCTAACCTGTTCTAAGGTAGATGCAAGTAGTAGTTTGGATAACAGATTGGATCACTGCAAGCCATAGTGTAGTCTAGAAGAAATCCAATCCATTCCCTTCCTCTCACACTCAGTTCCTTGTACAATCTCAGGGTGAAATGTAAACAGTCTGATGGCTTTTGTCCTTGTTTCCCACAGTCCTCCTCTGACATTGTGCAAGGGTTTGCTGTCCCAACACCCAAAGTTCCTGTCCTCCCATCTTTCAACGGACCAAAGATAAACAGGGCAGGTGAGGGTCTGCCAAAAGTCTCTGTGTTTCCCAGAGTTAAGCTGTGCAGCTAAATAATTTAAGTTTCCGTGAACTTAAGCCTTAGTGCTGGTTTTAGACAGAGATCAAATTTCAGCACAAACTCAAAGCAACTCTGTTTTCATAAAGGGCTTAAATATATAGAGCAGGTACAGTGCCTTCAGAAAGTATTCACACCCCTTGACTTATTCCACATTTTGTTGAGTTACAGCCTGAATTCAAAATGAATGAAAGTGAAAACCATGTTTTTAGAAATTTTAGCGAATGTATTGAAAATGAAAACAAAATTCAATTTACATAAGTATTCACACCCCTTAGCTATGACACTCCAAATTGAGCTCAGGTGCATCCAATTTCCTCTGATCATCCTTGAGACGTCACTACAACTTGATTGGAGTCCACCTGTGGCCAATTCAATTGTTTGGACATGATTTACAAAGAAACACATCTGTCTATATAAGGTCCCACAGTTGACAGTGCATGTCAGAGCAGAAACTATACCATGAAGGCCAAGGAGCTGTTCTTAGAGCTCCGAGATAGAATTGTGATGAGGCATAGATCTGGGGAAGGGTATAAAACTATTTCTAGAGTGTTGAAAGAGCACAGAGGTCTCCATCATTGGGAAATTGAAAAAATATGGAACTACCCAGAGCTGGCCGTCCAACCAAACTGAGCAACAGAGCAAGAAGGACCTTGGTCAGGGAGGTGACCAAGAACCCAATGACCACTGAGATGGGAGAACCTGCCAGAACACCAGTCTCTACAGCACTTCACTAATCTGGGCTTTATGGGAGAGTGGCCAGACAGAAGCCGCTCCTGAGAAAAGGCACATGACAGCATGCCTGGAGTTTGCAAAAAGGCACGTGAATGACTAAAGGCAAAAGATTCTGTGGTCTGATGAGACAAAAACTCTTTGGCTGGAATGCAAAGCGCTGTGTCTGGAGAAAACCAGGCACAGCTCATCACCAGTCTAACACCATCCCTACCGTGAAGCATGGTGGTGGCAGCATCATGCAATGGGGATGCTTTTCAGTGGCAGAGACTGGTAAGGATAAATCTGTGGAAAGACTTGAAGATTGCTGTTCACCGCCGCTTCCAATCTAACTTAACAGAGCTTGAGAAAATCTGCAAGGAAGAATGGGAGAAAATCCACAAATCCAGATGTGCAAAGCTGATACAGACAAACCCAAGACGACTCAAAGCTGTAATCGTCGCCAAAGGTGCTTCTACAAAGTATTGACTCAGGGGTGTGAATACTCATATAAATAAGATATTTCTGTATTTAATTTTCAATACATTTGTAAAAATGTGTAAACATGTTTTCACTTTGTAATTATGGGGTATTGTGTGTAGATGGGTGAGAAAAATTATAATTTCATCCATTTTGAATTCAGGCTGTAACACAACTAAATGTGGAATAAGTCAAGGGGTGTGAATACTTTCTGAAGGCACTGTAGATGTTTGTCTAAGATCTTGAACAAGAACACTATAAAAAACACCCAAGCAGCCATTCACAAGCATGTTTGCAGAGTGGGAGGGTACAGATCAAATGTAATTTAATCAGTTTCACCATTATTCAGGCCAACCAAAACAAAAGTAAAATAATTTACTTTGACAAGTTAAATCAATAAAATACTTGTCTCTGATGGTAGTTCTCCCTCTTCTTTATAGTAAATGGCGATCGGTTTTCCAATGGATCGGCTATATCTGTACCTGATTTGGTGGAAGGGGAGATATTTATTCCACCTCCCCCTACAATGGCACCCCCACCCCCTCCACCCATGTTCATCCCTCCCCCACCAGATTTCTTGGGTGACTTGGACTCCATTCAGCCTCCCTCCATGCCCCCTCCAAAACCCCCATCAAAACCACCATCAGTGGTTCCATCTAAAGAGTACGAGGATTTCACCTCCCTGAAACCTCCACTTATGCATCCCCCGAAGCCCCCGTCAACTTCCTCCAGTGCTTCTAGTTCCTCTTTGTCCATTTCTACACCACCACCGACCACTGTCCCTGATTTTACTGAGCCCCCAAAGTTTGCCCCTCCACAGCCCCCTACAGACATGAGGCAAGCTGCTCTGAAAGCCCTGAAGACCCCGCCTCCAAAGCCAACGAGGCTGTCCTCCATCCACAGCATTGACGAACCCCCCCAGTTTCCAGCCCCAGCTTCCCTTGCACAGATCCCGACACCCTCCAGCTTCAACCCCCAGAACACAGCTAAGCTCTACAGTGTTCCTAAGACTGGCATTCTAGGTAGGCAGGTGGACTGTGATAATAGGCCCAAGCAGATCCTACTCCTCCAGGTCAATGGGAAAGCCCCCTCTGTGGCACCACCAGCTAAGCCAGCCCGGAGAAATAGCTCAGGTATGCAGCTGGAGCAAGACCTGCAGGACTTAAAGGAAAACTTGCAAGCCACCCTTCCAGGCCAACCCACCCCACCCAAGACTTGGGAGGAAGTGAAAGTGGAGCCTTTGCCTTTATCAGCACAACAGGGTATCAACAAACCTGCCGCAACGCCCCCTAAAATGTCACCCAAGCTTCAGAAGGTGGTCACTGCCTCTGTAATCACAGAGGCTAGCCAGGTCAAGCAGGAAGCGTCTCCAGGCCGGAATCGCAAGTTCAGTCCTATGCTGGACCATAAACTACGCAACCTAAAGGCCAGTGAGGTCACTGGGATGAGGGAGGGTCCTTCTGCTTCCCCCCTGGCTCTTCTCATGGCAGCTAAAGAGCGAGAGAAGCACAGGTCCACTCTTTCCCTTGAAAACAGCACAAAGAGTAATGAGCCATCAACCAGCATCCAGCACAGTGAATCCAATCCCAATTCTTTCACCGTCATCCCTAGGTCCACCTCATTCACTTCTGTAACCTCACAAGATAAACCACAGTCTGTGGTCCCACTGGTGATCCAAACTCCAGCAAAACCCCAGATTATTGAGTCAGTGGTGAAGGGGCCAATTGCAAATCCAGTAGTTCAGAGGATTCTGCCCACCTCTAGATCCTCATCCTCCAGCAGTCTAGCCGTGGAGAAGCAAAGTGGAGAGCAGAGGACTCCTTCACCCTCTAGCCTTGTCAGGGATGAAGAGAACAGGGAGGACCTATGCATGCCATTACTCCCTCCCCCTCCCGAATTCGATGACCATGATGATGTCGTGGACTCTCCCCCCAGCTCGCCTCCACCTGACCCTCCCGTGAAGAAGGTCCTGCCCCCCACTCCCAGCCCTGTCCTTCCAGTCCAGTCCCCCACTGCCACCCCTGTCAAAACTCCCTCCCCTCTGCCTCCGCCTCCGCCTCCCCCTCCAAAACCCAAATCTCAAAGCCCTCCCAAATTCCCACCTCCTGTCATGGAGATCAAACCCAAGCTGCCTGTTCAGACCAAACCCAAGCCACCTCCCACCCAGGGGCTCTCCTCCCTCTCAGCCAGCCAGGCCACGCTCCAGAGCATCCTGCAGAAGAAGATGCTAGAGATGGACCGCAAAATGGACAACAAAATGCTGGCCATGAAGGAAACAGACTCTGATGACTGGGGGTCTCCCTTGTCTGATGAGGAGACCAAGGTCCCTGTTGTCCTCAGAGTCACCCCGAAGAACCCTGTTATCACCGCAAAGAGCAAGAGTGCCACCATGCCAGCCAAAACACAAGGCCTGGACATGAAGGAGCTGGAGACAAAAATGGCCATGAAGGCTCAGAGTTTGTCAGCGCCATCAAAAGTTCCCACAAGGTAGGACTTGCTCGCTGTCCTTTATCTTTATTTGTCTGTTTGGCTTTTTAACAAAATGTGAAAAAAACAAATCTTTGTTATGGTTAAGGTTAGGGTGTTGTGACTTAGTTTTTGTTTGTCTAGTAGTATCCCTAATTGCATGTTTTGACTCACAGTAAAGAATGTTAGCTAGATGTATTGTTAAATGCAACAAGATCAACCTGATATGTTTAAATGATTAATTATTTATTCCTCTACTTTTTAGCAATGGGCCACAGTCAAAGCAGGCGTGTGGCATGACTTTCATGGTACAACCCGGAACCAAACAACCAATCACTGTTGTCAGCAAAGGGGACTCATGAGGAGCCAACTCCAAATTATACCACACATACTGTACCATACAGCCCCTGTCAAGGGCAAGGACAATGGAAAGAGAGGGCACCTTAAATACTGCTTAAAATTGATATAACCAATAAACACTGAGCACATATGCCAAGGATGTTTTCACCAAGCCCCTGGAGAGAGGACACAAACAATTTGCTCTGCATTTGTCTAGAAAAGGTTTTGCTGTACCACAGCACATAAACCTGCCCTCCAGAGGTACTGTGTCAAATAGCTTTTTGTCTAAGTGCCAAAGTCTAAAGAGTGGGTGGACCATGTTGGAACAGCTTTCAACAGTATCTTTGACTGCTACGGTTTAATCAGTGCAAGTACACATTGCCTTATTTTTACCTCTGGTATCGGTCTGACCTAATAGACTCAAAGCAGAGTGTGAGGAGGCTGCTCTTAAAACTAGGAGCTGTAATTTGCCAGCCTTAATATCAGTGGTGGAAAAAGTACCCAATTGTCATACTTGAGTAAAAGTATAGATACCTTAATAGAAAGTTACTCAAGTAAAAGTGAAAGTCACCCAGTAAAATACTACTTGAGTAAAAGTCTAAAAGTATTTGGTTTTAAATATACTTAAGTATCAAAAGTAGAAGTAAAAGTATAAATAATTTCAAACTCCTTATATTAAGCAAAGCAGATGGCACCATTTTTTTGTTTTTAAAATGTACGGATAGCCAGGGGCACACTCCAACACTCAGACATTATTTACAAAAGATGCATTTGTGTTTAGTGAGTCCGCCAGACCATAGGCAGTAGGGATGACCACGTGTTATCTTGATAAGTGCATGAATTTAACAATTGTCCTGTCCTGCTAAGCATTCAAAATGTAACGAGTACTTTGGGTTTTCAGGGAAATTGTTTGGAGTAAATAGTACAATATTTTCTTTAGGAATGTAGTGAAGTAAAAGTAAAAGCTGTCAAGAATATAAATAGTAAAGTAAAGTACAGATACCCCAAAACACTACTTAAGTAGTACTTTAAAGTATTTTTACTTAAGTACTTTACACCACTGCTTAATATACACCGAATAATTCCATGCATCAAAAGGATGTTTATATAAATGTCTTGAAGAGTTACTATAAGGATGTGTACAGATTGTTTTTGCTTATGTTTCCATTGTGTCACAGTACCGCTACAATACATTAAGAACACACATGTTGTATATTGTTCACTATACTATACTTAACAAGGGTGCCACAACTATGTAAACTGTGTTTATCAGTTATCTTTTGATCATCTACTTCGGTCAGGTGAGCAAGATATGTTCCATACAATGGATGACTAAATAGAAGCAAAACAGATGTCGCCATTTACCACATAAGGACAGGAGAAGTAAGATTTGGTCTCCATGGTCTGTAGAACCTACACTCAGTTGTCCGTTTATTAGGTACACCACCCCGTTCACGAAAATAGTTAGCTCCTACAGACAGTGAGTCAAGTGGCCGTGGTTTGCTATATAACTGAACATTAGAATGGGCAGAACGAGTGATCTAAGCAACTTTGAGCGTGGTATGATCGTTGGTGCCAGGTGCGCCGGTTCCAGTATCTCAGAAATAGCCGGCATCCTGGGCTTTTCACGCACGACAGTGTCTAGGGTTTACAGAGAATAGTGCGACAAACAAAAAAACATCCAGTTAGCGTCAGTCATGTGGGCGAAAACATCTTGTTGATGAGAGGTCGAAGGAGACTGGCAATAATCGTGCAAGTTAACAGGCGGGACACAAACAGGCAAATAACGGCGCAGTAGAACAGTGGTGTGCAGAACAGCATCTCGGAACGCACAACTCGTCGGTCCTAATTACGGATGGGCTATTGCCGCAGACGACCACACCGGGTGCTGCCATAGAGTTAAATTAGAAGTGCCCATCCCCAGAGAAAATGACGTCAAATCACGTTATATCTACAGTAGCTTTGATTGGACTGATCATGTCAACATCATACTTTCAAAATCTTAGCTAGCAGTCATCATCATGAATCATGTCGACAATCTACTGGCAAATCCTTTTTAATCCTTGTCATATGAAGAGGAAATATAGATAAAACGTATCTGTGCTCATCGGCCATTGGACATAGACATTACACAACAAGTTGGAAATCACAAATTCAACAATGAGTGGTTTGGAAGGAATCAGTGGCTAACTGCAAGCATTGCAAAGCAATCACTAGCCTGCTATTCAGTGGAGTGGCTGTGTGGTCCCAAGTCTGGGATTAAGGGTCTCTTTTCCAAGATTAAAATGATAAACATTCAACATTGGCCATGATGTCAATGAAGCATGATTTGTGCTGCGCTCAAAAACTTAACTCGGAACTGCGAAATCTGACTTCAGTGAGTTCAAGACAACTGGGAAATTTGGGGAAAACGAGCTCCGACTGGGTTTTGAACGGTCATCCAACTCAGAATTGTAAATCCAGAACTTGGGCCTCTTTCTAGAGCTACGACCTGAAGATCACTAACGTCATCATGATTTTACCTTGTTTTTTCCCCCGAGTTCCCAGTTGTCTTGAAAGCACCATAAATCCAGAGAATACCAGACTTTGATGACAAAATTTGCCCACGAAGGACCGCCGCGCCACCTTCCTGTTCAAGTGAGCACAGCATAACAAGGTGAGTCCAAAAATGTATTGTATGCTGCTGCATAAATGATGTAATATGCCAGGGAGATATGTATACTATAGCTAAGAAAGTAATACTAAGTGTATGTTGTGTAGTAAACTGTTAGTAGCCCATGTGCCTCAACCTAATAATTTGGTCTATTTTCCCCTCTTAATTTCACCTTCTGTTCTGACTTGGTGGTGCACATGTAGCCTATAGCCTGTTTTAGATAAATGTCATTATTGAATATTGTCTGCTTTCATTGTCTGTTTATATGCCCCCTTCATTTATGCTATGGTTCTGACTTTGACTTGGTGTACAGGGAAAACACTAAGAACGGCCCATGTTCTGAATTCTGTCGCTGTACATTTCAAAAGTGCTGAACAAATAGTTATATTGACTACGTCCGTCCTAGCTCGCTCATTAATGTCTTAATCGAAATTATGGATTGCCTCTAATTTGCTTGTCGTCCCCTTATGCCATAGTTTATACATCTCAATTGTCAGTAGAAACCACATTTGTTTAAGCAAGTCAGCCATATCAGCCGTTTTTTTTTTTTAAGGCAGTAAATGAGGCTGAATTAACTGACAAGGCTCCGCTGATAGCCAGGTGTAGCAGTGGTAAGGTGTTGGGGCAGCTTTATGTAGGCCCTAACAGTTTGTGGGCACAGTTTGTCACCGTTATAGTGCAATTAATTTATTGTTTAGTGTTGTGTAGTGGCATGCATCCCACATTTTTGTTTGCCACACCAAGATTTACATGCTAAAATCGCCACTGTGCGGGGTACAGAGATGAGGTAGTGTAGCTATTGTCAGTGTGCCCCCTATATTCATTTAGCAGCGGCACCCTAATCGTTACAGCCACAAAAAATGCAGATGGACAACCCCATGCTTCCGTCCATTTATTTAAAGCTGCATCAGTTGGGCTACATGTTATGCTTTTAAAAGGGGACAGTTATATTTCAGATGGTGTCAACAATTTAATTTTTTCATTTTGGAGAAGAATGTTCTTCTAGAAAGGTCACCAGAAGTGAGCTCAGCAGTTCTATCCAAAAAATATAATGGAGAGGCATGCCCCTGCACACTACTTTTGCCACTGGTGTCTGTCAATACTAAAGCTGCTCATTTATAAAAAATATTTTTTAAATCTAGTTAAAACCATGATATATCCAAGACGATGTGAAAACTTGTAAGGGTTGGTCACTGACATTGGAGGAAGAGTAGTGTTGATGTCTTCTGACTGGAGTGGAAGTGGACATGACCATTGATTTTGGTAACGTCAAGTTCCAAGTCCTTTTAGAATGATTTGGCACAAAAACCACCACATTCAGAAACCAAAATTACCATGGATTGCCTTCCCTGGATTTATGGTTTTAAACATTGAATTATGCCAAATATACCAGTGCACAGGCCACTCCTTTGTATTGTTATTTCACCTGTGATATAAAAATGTAATAAAGTCAAGTTTCAAGGTAATTAAATGTGTTTCTACCAAATTGTCTGAGAATAATTTCCCAATGAGGACTAAAAGGTGAGTAACATTCATGTGTTTGGAAAACCAAAATCAACCCGTGAATATACAATATTCAGACAAACTTTATTGAAGGATGGAAAAACAAGTTGATTATGTCAGTTTTAGGTTGCACTGCTCAGACTTCCAAAAAGCAACACCAGACATGTACTGTACATACAATCCAAGGAGCAGCCCTGTGTGGACGAAAACCATTAAGTGTGCTTTCTGTTTCACATGAGCGAGAGAGAGGAGACCATCTAAACAAAAGAAAGTGCCAAGGGAGGGGAGGGATAATATGGAATGGAATCACATTGATACAAACAAGCCAGTGAAGTTAAGGACTTCTCAAATGTACAGAAATTCTTCATTAATTTGGAAAACAAATTGCCCATGGTATTGATTATGGTCACAACTTGAACCAGGTCATTCTAGTCCAGTGTTATTTCAGAATGCTTGTATGAGGCACAGGTTAATTGACTATTAAGTCTAATTCACCCACACAATCTTGCTATCCAATGAGCTAGTGGCTCACTTCTCACAGACTGGCTTACATGCCACGTAATACAGCACCCCCGAGTGGGTAAACAAAGGTTACATGGGGTTGGACTCACTGGACTATACGCGTGATCAAATGGGTTCATTAGATTAGATTCCCATTGCCTTTGGCAGCATTCCCAAACCCAAGTCTTAAAGTACCCCACGTGTTAACTGGACACCAATCCATCTCAGTTAATTTCCCCACAAACAACTGCAAAACAAAGGTGATGTCCAACAAGTGGTTAACATTCACCTTAAAACTGAGACTCAGCATATGACGTTGCCATGAACCGCAAATATGCAACGCAAGACATTGCACTCCAAAAGCACATGTGCGCTTCAAGCTGCTGCAACGTGATCGCTGCTGGACAAAAACAGCAGAAATGTTTAGGCTCGCAATTCATACTCCGTTGTTGCGGAAAAGATCCCGATTTAATTTGTGCATCGCTGACTACCGTCACACATAATTTATTTAATAACTTTTTTTTTTAAACCTTTTTGTCATTTAGCAGACGCTCTTATCCAGAGCGACTTACAGTTAGTGAGTGCATACATTATATATTTTTTATACTGGTCCCCCGTGGGAATCGAACCCACAACCCTGGCGTTGCAAACGCCATGCTCTACCAACATCCCTGCCGGCCATTCCCTCCCCTACCCTGGACGACGCTGGGCCAATTGTGCGCTGCCCCCTGGGTCTCCCGGTCGCGGCCGGCTACGACAGAGCCTGGATACGAACCAGGATCTCTAGTGGCACAGCTGCCTTAGACCACTGCGCCACTCGGGAGGCCTTAATCAGTTGGAAAGAAAACCAGCATGGCCAGGGGTACTTAGACTAGGATTGGGAAAACCATCCTAATACTGCTCTGCTCCGGTGTTGACAACTTCTACCCTCATGCCAACCCCTCAAATTCTCCCCCACAAAACCCCATACTTTTACAACCCCCCTCCCCATTTCCTGACCCAGGCTGGGTGGTGGGTCTATGGTGGTGACATGGAGTCTCCAGTGGCGGGTCCATCCTGTCCCATGACGTGGTGGAGGACCTGGTGGTCCCAGCCCACGGTGGTCAGTGTGTCAGAACCGCCAGGGGCCCAGCAGACACCCCGAACAAAGTCCTGGTGCCTCCTGTCTCTCAACCTGGAGAGGAGCAGCAGACACACATGATTAAGTGACTGGGTACAAATACATTATTTTGACTGTTTTATTTCAAAGCTGAGTTGATAAGCCAAAAGGATTAACTAGGGAGAGATTGTAAACAGCCCATACATAGACACTTACGTTTCCTTAAGCTCAGAGTTCATCACAGCAACGGAGCAGTCATCACTGATGGAGGCAAGCAAGGGGGCACTGTGGTGGAAGGTAAGAGATAATTGTGTTAGCTTAGTCTGACAAACCATTGACTGCTGTAGATGTGTGAGGTGAGATGGTGTTTTACCTGTGTGAGGAGAAGGCTAGGCCGGAGACCCTGCGGCTGTGGGTGCTCTGTGTCTGGGCAGGCTCTGTTCCCTGAAAGTCCTTCAGAGTCACTCGTCCCAGCTTGTCACCTGAATCAACAAACACCATTATCAACAAATATATCATTAAAGCCTGGCAGATCAATCATTTAGACCAATGATGTGCTTGGACCACTATGCATCATGGGAAATGTAGCGCTGGTCCTTACCGTACGCGATTGTGGTCCTGTGGTGGGGATGCCAGGCTACTGAGGTAGGGCAACAGCTGGGCTCTACATCTGAGACAAGATAAAATCTCCAAAGTCAGCTGGGAAATCACCAACCACAGCAACATGCACTAGACAACATGTTGGCCACACCTGACCATGTACATGTTTTTGATTTCCACTATTTACATGTATTGCACGTGCACTTCGAACACAGTGAATGGGTACTTGGTGTGCTGCAGAAGCCTAGATACTTTTGAAGTGTGGATGTTTTCAAAACACACAGAATTATTGTCCCAACACACTGGAATCCAGGATCGCTGGAAAAGTTTGCTTAATAAAGAACAAATATTAGGAAAATTAAACCACATCTACCAAACGAGCCTGATTGTTTTTCAAGGACATGTTGTGAGTTGTGACCCGACCTGCATTTATCACAATTTATAAGATTGGGTTACTCAAGGATATACACTTCGACAACAGAATCCAAGGCTGCCTTAAAAACCATGCTCCTTGACCAATATTGAAAAACTATAAGACCCAATGACAAGCCAAGATTAATGTCACTGTCAATCCACTGGCAACAGAAATCTATGCATCTCAGCCCAGTGAAAATCCTGCTGCCTAGCTGACTGCAGTTCAGACTGGTTCTACTCACCTAATCTAGAGGCTGGTTTGGTGGGTTTTCTCCTGTCCCAAAGCAACAGACGACCATCCTGAGGGAAGGGGAATGGAGAGACAATGAGAGGAGACAGTGCATTACGACGTTTCATACAGTTACAAGGGTCTCCTTTCAGTAAGTTACAACCTACTACTGTATCTAGCTTCATATTTCATAGCACACAATAGAAAAGCCACACTTACCATTCCAAACTGATCAACCGATTAAAACAGACAACCCTCTAATTAGTCTTGGCTCTTACCTGGCCACATGAGAGGAAGAGGGAGTCATCGGATGGATTGCAGGACACACAAGTGACTGGCTTCGAGTGAGCTGTGGAACAGGAGACAGATCAGATTCAGTTACCTAGACAGCCTACAGAAACATGAGAAACTGCCACTGACATGTTCACCACTTTTAAGACACAGTGCAGCTCAAAATACAGAGATGGAGGTATAGTTTCCTTACCATTATATGTGCTGACCACTTCCCCCCGAATAAGGTCCCAGACTTTGATTCTGCAGCAGGTAGAAAAGAGAAAGAACTGAGCAAGATTTAGGCCTATGACAGCATAAAAATGATATTAATCTTCACCATGAAATGTATACCAAGCTGCAACACGTCATTACCTGCAGCTGTCAAAATATCAGACTCACAGCCAGGCCAGTTACACCAAGGGCATAGGTCTGTCATGCCATCAAATCCAAAATTTGCATGAGACCGGAGTATGTGAGCGGTCTGAAATCCCGCTCATCGCTCAAGGAGCGATGCTTGCACACCGCTCCATGTCCTTTCCAAACACCAAATTCGCTCCACTCATTAAAATCACAATTTAACTAACACCCATTAATTTTTTGGACTACTTGGACCTACCATTTGGTTTTGAAACCAAACCATATTTAATTTGAATGAAAAGTATTTTAATAAACATGAAGGTGAACGTAAGAAGCGCTCATCATTTCAAATAGGCTACATGTCATGGTAAACAGAATATAAACACTAAATATGTCAGGAGCCAGACAGGGAGCCTAATAAGGAACGACTACAGGCACATGCTAAAAGAAAGTAACAAGGTGGGTAGATAACTAAGTGTGTTATTGTAGCAAAGTATTTATAAACTAAAAATCAGATCTCTTAAAAGTTTCGTAGGCCTACACAATCATGCTTTCAGGATACGTGTCTTTTCAGATTCCACATTGACTCTTTACTTATGGACATCACATCGCCACACTCCCTCTTGGTCCTCATCTTTGTAAGTCACCTTGATTTTGCACCTGTGTTTTATCAGTTTCTTTATGAAAATATTTAGTGAACTTCATGTTAGTAGATAAAGCAAGGGGCTATAGCAGCACACAAGTAGACTACAAATGCATGCTGGGCTGGGCATGCCCTGAGCTAGTGAAGTGAGCGCTACTGGATCGAAATTAGTGGGCAAGAAAGCCGATGCTCCAGCCTTTGGGAATTTCGTGTCGCGCTCCAGTCAAATTGGGCACACTCCGCTCCTCGTTCCGCTCACACACTCTGCATGAGACACACACAGATAAGAGATTGTCCCTACTGACCGGCTGTCCATACTGCCGCTGATGGCGTGGCTTGACCCAGCAGGGCTCACGCTGGTGACGATGTGATCATGCTCGAGTTTGGTGAACCGATTCACCAGCAGACTCTCGTCCTCCACTAGGTCCCACAGCTCAACAGCACCTACAACACCCAGACAAACCCCATTGCATCCACACTGTTGTATAGCCCGTAAATAATGTATATGATAGTGTGGCCTGAATTAAATGTAATCATTGTACTTTTAACACCTATATCTCCCTCTTGTGGTTGACCAGCCTTATTTACAGCAGAATATGATATGCATTTAGTAATGATTACTGTCATTCCTACTTACCGGAGTCAGATGCAACTAGGACACCCCTCTCTGAAACCCACTTTGCCTCTGTGACCCCTGCCTCTGTCTGGACACCAGCCTTGCAGAAGCCCTCATTGGGAGACTGCTTGGGGTCACTGTAGACCCAGATGGAGCCCTGCCAGCACCTGCCTGTCAGACTGGAGGCCCCCAACAACAGGGTGCCATCTAGGGGAAGAAAATAGAAAATGTCAATAGCTGAATCATATGTCTTGTGCCTGTGCGAAATTGCCATAGGATAGGGTCCCATAAAATAATATTTTAGTATCCCATCAAAGATCCCTGCACGGACAAGGCCTGTAGTCAGCGCGCCAGTAGATTCACAGTTGTGACTTGTGGACAGTAGTAGACAAGTTTGCTGGCTAGCTAGCTCTTTTTAGGGAATCTAACGTTAGCATCCTAGATATAACATGCCTGCTCAACGTGGTGTTGCGACAGGTTATTTTACAATCAATGCATAACTAGCAAGCTATAATTGTTAGATTATGTCTAACGTTAGCTAGCTATATGATAACGTTAGAGGATCTAACGCACCATTGAAACGCTTTGAGATTGTTATGAAAAGCGCTATAGAAATATAATAAATGATTATTCTCTTCGAAGTGGCAAGTTAGCTTTAGGAGCTAGCTACAGTAGCTGGCTAAAGTGGGTCACAGTAAACTTTACCAAAGATAGAACAAACATATTTGACTGTGTGCTTTTGCTGTTAATGGTGCAAGTTCGAGAGCCACTCAGACGGAGACGAAAGTCATAACCCATCTGATTTACACGTCCACAATAGACCACTTTATTCCGCGACAACACACAACGTGCTGTGGTAGATAGCTAGCCCTTTCTACTAGCCATGTGTCTGGAAGCTATCCAACTAGCTATCACACAAGGCTGGCATCACTCACAAGCTGTGACTTTGCTTACCTCCCCTGTACTGCGCCGAGTCCAAATGTTTCTCCATGCACGCAGGGGCATTTGGGGGTATGTTCCATCTGTTTTCCTTTATCATATTGGTATTTACTGTACTTTTCATCCAGGCAACTCTGATTCACTTAAGATAGTGTTTGCAATACAAATTATTTTTATTTGTATAATAAATGTAAAAACGTTGATAACTTAACTATCTAGTCGAGAAACCACGGACTAAGAAACTACCTGATTTAGGTAAACGTTTACGTTCAAGTGCTCCATCATTCACGCCAGAAATGAATGAACTTGCAAACAGCCAGAGAACTCCATCGTGTACGTTTCCCAATTATCATCAATGGGCCGCGCGGTGCATTCTGGGACAAGATCACTCCTTCAAGTAGTGAATGGGAGTCAATTGGGCGCTAACTCGAAAACCCAACATTAGCATGAAGTAGAACATTACGAATCTTTTCAGAGATGTGAGATAATTGACTTGTTCTCTGTAATATCGTATAGCTTTGAAATCGTAACATACCGTACTTTCAAGGAAAATAGGCTGGTTTCTCGACTCACAACCTGACTTTTAAGAAAGGATTGCGTGACAATAAGCAAGTTTAACAACCGCGTGAACGCGATTGGTCGACAGTCTGCTGGGCGGAGCGTTATACTTTTCTACATTCATTTCCAGCTGGGATTCTTATCCCGCCTCTTCTAATACTGTCATAGTGAGATTGTAGACTCCTAAATTTATACCACAGATTATCCATTATATTGACCAGATACTGAAGTGGCCGCGTTAACAATGTGAAGAAATGTCTTAAAATGGAAGGCAGTCGGAAGGAGGGAAGATACGGTGGGATCATTCTAGCCAATGAGTAGGTTGATACGTGTGTGAACAACAGGCACAACTCCGATTTAAAGTGCTTTTCCCCATAAATTGCCGGGATGTCACGTGTCCTACTTATATCAGTACACTTGTAGAAACCTAAGCATTACGAAACTTCTATTCGATCAAATAAGTCATTCAATTTTCTGTTAACCAAATTAGACACTCATTGACCTTCATACTCCTTACTTGGTGAGCGAAAAAACCCCACTACAAAACGCCACCTGCTGGAGAAGACATATTTGGGGCGCAGTTATCCGGTCATGGCTAGGATAGATCCAGCTTTTGTCAAATTAACGTCAGATTTTACTTTTCGTAGCAAGTTAGGATAATTAGGTTAAGGTTAGGAAAATAGTTAGGGTTAGCTAAAATGCAAAAAACACCAATAAAAATTGCCGTTAATTTGACAAAAAATATATTTCTTTTAGCCAGGGTTATCAAATATTTCTATAACTAACCCAAGATAGACCAGAGCCTGTCGTTTCCAATGGGAGCAAATTAATCATAGTGGGCAAGGAGGTGGGCAGAGCCAAGGACGAGCTAGTGAGATCCTATTGGCACGTTCTAGCATTTATTTGCATATTTCCGTTAGGGAACGTTTACCCTGAAGTGCGCGTGTGCAATACCTAAATTCGCCCTTGCACTCCTTCTAAACAACGCACTTTTTTGAAACTTTGGCAGTCTGTTACAGATTCTAGTTTTGGAAACAGACAACTGTATGGAGATCAATCGATGAGAACATTTGCAGAATGTCGGCCAAAATCCATCTCGCTCCATCTTCTCCCACAGCCAGCCACTGGGCTTCCTCTCATCACCATATTTAGTAGTGTGTGGAAACGCCAACCGGATGCTTCACATTTATACATCCGGTGAAATATCTGGCTCATTGCTCTGTGGGGTTATCCCTTCGCCTCTTCCTCTGTTTATAAGACTGAGGTATACAATTATGACGCTAGCTTGCAAAAAAATACACATACACTGCCAGTCAAAAGTTTGGACACACTTATTCATTCAAGGGTTTTAAATTATTTGTACTATTTTTTTTTTTTACATTGCAGAAAAATAGTTAAGACATCAACTATGAAATAACACATGGAATCATGTAGTACCCAAAAAAAGTGTTATTTTATATTTGAGATTCTTCAAATAGCCACCCTTTGCCTTGATGACAGCTTTGCACACTTTTGGCATTCTCTCAACCAGTTTCATGAGGTAGTCACCAGGAATGCATTTCAATTAACAGGTGTGCCTTGTTAAACATTAATTTGTGGAATTTATTTCCTCCTTAATGAGTTTGAGCCAATCAGTTGTGTTGTGACAAGGTAGGGGGGGTATACAGAAGATAGCCCTATTTGGTAAAAGACCAAGTCCATATTATGGCAAGAACAGCTCAAATAAGCAAAGAGAAACGATAGCCCATCATTACTTTAAGACATGAAGGTCAGTCAATCCAGAACATTTCAATAACTTTGAAAGTTTATTCAAGTGCAGTCGCAAAAACCATCAAGCGCTATGATGAAACTGGCTCTCATGAGGACCGCCACAGGAATGGAAGACCCAGAGTTACCTCTGCTGCAGAGGATAAGTTCATTAGAGTTACCAGCCTCAGAAATTGCAGCCCAAATAAACGCTTCACAGAGTTCAAGTAACAGACACATCTCAACATCAACTGTTCAGAGGGGACTGTGTGAATCAGGCCTTCATGGTCAAATTACTGCAAAGAAACCACTACTAAAGGACACCAATAAGAAGAAGAGACTTGCTTGGGCCAAGAAACATGAGCAATTGACATTAGACTGGTGGAAATGTGTCCTTTGGTCTGTAATCCAAATTGGAGATTTTTGGTTCCAACCGCCGTGTCTTTGTGAGATGCAGTGTGGGTGAACGGATGATCTCCCCATTTGTATTTCCCACCGTAAAGCATGGAGGAGGTGGTGTTATGGTGTGGGGGTGCTTTGCTGGTGACACCGTCTGTGATTTGTTTAGAATTCAAAGCACACTTAACCAGTATGGCTACCACAGCATTCTGCAGCGATACGCCATCCCATCTGGTTTGGGCTTAGTGGGACTATCATTTGTTTTTCAACAGGACAATGACCCAACACACCTTCAGGCTGTGTAAGGGCTATTTTACCAAGAAGGAGAGTGCTGGAGTGCTGCATCAGATGACCTGGCTTTCACGATGACCTGGCCTTCACAATCCCCCGACCTCCACCCAATTGAGATAGTTTGGGATGAGTCGGACCGCAGAGTGAAGGAATAGCAGCCAACAAGTGTTCAGCATGTGGGAACTCCTTCAAGACTGTTGGAATAGCATTCCAGGTGAAGCTGGTTGAGAGAATGCCAAGAGTGTGCAAAGCTGTCATCAAGGCAAAGGGTGGCTATTTGAAGAATCTCAAATATATTTTGATTTGTTTAACACTTTTTTGGTTACTACATAATTCCATGTGTTCTTTCATAGTTTTGATGTCTTCACTATTCTACAATGTAGAAAATAGTACAAATAAAGAAAACCCCTTGAATGAGTACCTGTGTCCAAACTTTTGACTGGTACTGTAGATGACATTGATTTTAGCGTTGGCAAATTGGCTTAGTCTCATAGTGAGGAGCCTATCAAACGTAGCTAACGTCATACACATATTTTTGGGAATTCTGAAATGTATCGGAATAAATGACCAAACTATAAAACTAACTAGCCAGCTATGGGTAACTGTAGCTGGCTATCTGACAGGAGTGCTAGCTAGTTACGTTAGCTTGCTAGGTACATTAATAGCTTCAGGTTGGTTGTTTTTAAGATCAATTTCAAGATTTCCACCAAGGACGTTGCCTCTCCAATCATCACTCTCCCTCGCTTGGGCAAGGGACGTACACTCGGATGTGACGATGTAAAAAAAAAAAAAAAACGTAATTCAAAAGCTGTGGATTTGGGGCCGTGGGAGGTCTACTTTGAGTTTGGACTGTTGCCAAGGTTTATACTGCGCTTTTGAAACAGCAACCCGAACTACGTGGACTGCATACTTCCGTTTCCTGGGTCCACGCAGCTTGAGGTTTTGGTTGTCACTAGTTACCACAGCCACAAAGTCAAAAATAGCTTTATGGTCTTAATTTAAATTTAGGCCAGGCAAAATTGATTCACTGTTTAACGGAAAAGTGAGGCGAGCGAGCGAAAAAAACATTAAGCGGATAAGGAATAACAATACTTTACCACATTGTCCTAGGCACTTGTGCAGGCTCTAGCCCCAATATGAGCTTCAAAAGTTATATTATTCCATGCGAAAACCTACACTATTTTTCTTTAAAATAATGCAGATATTACAATGTTGTTATAACCATGAGAAATGAAACAAAATGGGAAGTATACAGTGCCTTGCAAAAGTATTCATCCCCCTTGGCGTTTTCCCTATTTTGTTGCATTACAACCTGGAATTAAAATTGATTTTTGGGGGGGTTTGTTTCAAATAATTCTAAAAAATAAATAACGGAAAAGTGGTGCGTGTATATGTATTCACCCCCTTTACTATGAAGCCCCTAAATAATATCTGGTGCAACCAATTACCTTCAGAAGTCACATAATTAGTTAAATAAAGTCCACCTGTGTGCAATCTAAGTGTCACATGATCTGTCACGTGATCTCAGTATATGCACACCTGTTCTGAAAGGCTCCAGAGTCTGCAACACCACTAAGAAAGGGGCACCACCAAGCAAGCGGCACCATGGAGACCAAGGAGCTCTCCAAACAGGTCAGGGACAAAGTTGTGGAGAATTACAGATCAGGGTTGGGTTATAAAAAAATATATGAAACTTTGAACATCCCACTGAGTACCATTAAATCCATTATAAAAAAATGGAAAGAATATGGCACCACAACAAACCTGCCAAGAGAGGGCCGCCCACCAAAACTCACAGACCAGGCAAGGAGGGCATTAATCAGAGGCACCAAAGAGACCAAAGATAACCCTTAAGGAGCTGCAAAGCTTCAAAGCGGAGATTGGAGTATCTGTCCATAGGACCACTTTAAGCCGTACACTACACAGAGCTGGGCTTTACGGAAGAGTGGCCAGAAAAAAGCCATTGCTTAAAGAAAAAAATATTCAAACACGTTTGGTGTTCGCCAAAAGACATGTGGGAGACTCCCCAAACATATGGAAGAAGGTACTCTGGTCAGATGAGACAAAAATTGAGCTTTTTGGCCATCAAGGAAAACGCTATGTCTGGCGCAAACCCAACACCTCTCATCACCCCGAAAACACCATCCCCACGGTGAAGCATGGTGGTGGCAGCATCATGCTGTGGGGATGTTTTTCATGGGCAGGGACTGGGAAACTGGTCAGAATTGAAGGAATGATGGATGGCGCTGGGATTTGAGACTGGGACGGAGGTTCACCTTCCAGCAGGACAATGACCCTAAGGGGGGGGGGAATAGTTATGCACACTCATGTTCTGTTTTTGTCTTATTTCTTGTTTGTTTCACAAAAAAAAAAAATTTGCATCTTCAAAGTGGTAGGCATGTTGTGTAAATCAAATGATACAAACCCCCCAAAAAATCCATTTTAATTCCAGGTTGTAAGGCAACAAAATAGGAAAAATGCCAAGGGGGGTGAATACTTTCGCAAGCCACTGTAACTTCTAGCCTAATAAGGCTTTAACAAATTAAGACAATTCAAATAAAGGCCTATCATAGACCACCCTTTCAAGGAAAAATATGCTTTGTTAATAAAGCCTTCGAATTAGGTCAAATGAATGTAACACTGGAAAAAGTGCAATCCAATCTCGTAATTTAATGTGATGTATAGGGTAATAGAGAAGACTATATATAAAAAAAATCTAATTCAAGAATGATCGACAAATAATTGTAATCAAATTTAAATGTTGATGTATAATAATGAGTTCATTATCTGAATGCATATCTATAGCCTTTAGGTGTTAACAAAATATTCATACAAATATTAGGCCTCTCAGACTAGGCCATGTATAAAGAGGGTCAATCAAGTTAGGTCTGCCAAATTAATGTAGCATTGGAAAATACATAACTCCAGCCATAGAGTATAGCCTATCATCATCAAAATAAAAAATTTAGTTTATAACATGCACAATTAGAAGCATCAACCTATATAGAGCAAGCTTGACTAAATTCGAGCCCAGTAACTTTGATTGTCTCGTCTGTCTGCCAGGAAAAGCCCCCACCTTAGAGACAGTCGATCACATCATTGTGGAGCTGCTGATTTGCACGAAGTGTGTGCCACTGGCGATGGACTTTGCTGGACATGCTAGCGGTTTTCGGCGGCGCATCATCACTTCAAACGCATTCCGTCTTGGTGTTATCGGTTGGCCTACAACTACCGGTAGTACCGGTAAACTGTAAGTTATGAATCACAAATCACCATACAGCTGACACACTTCGATTTCATCAATCATTTTGACTTCAATTTGGTTGTCCATCATACCATCAGCTTGCACTGCGTCTTTGCTGATGAATGCCCTAATCTCTGGCCAGTCAATTGGTTCAACAACATTGTTGTTTCGTCTATTAATCGCTTCTAATAGTTCTGAAAATGATGCATTAACGATTAATTTAACCAACTGTTTGTTTATAACGAGGGACGTCCCACGTTTAACCTGGACACATAAATAGTAGGAATTTGCGCTGGCTTCAGCCATGACCGCACAAGGGAGAAATGAAACATCTGCACGTCGCCTGCAGGTGCCTAAAAGTCGCCAGAAGTTGCTAAATGACATAATCTAATTTGCATAATTGGCCATGTGCATGTAATTGTGATGGACGCTGTAGGAGAGAGGATGTATGTAAGCCAGGGCGGGATCAGCCAGCGGCAGCTTCCCGCATGCGCGATTCATTTGCAGTCTGGACGCAGAGGGGTGAACATCTCCTGCTCTGACTGCAGCTGGGAGGGACTGCTGCGCGAGGACTGGGCCGCCTGTGAGTGCTTTGGGACGGGGGTGGGGCCCACGGCAGCGGGTACGGGGGTGGGGCCCATGGCAGCCGGTACGGGGGTGGGGCCCACGGCAGCACTCGCAGCTCGTTGAGAAGAGTAAGAACGATACATGCTTTTATGTATCGTGGCTGAAGCCACTGTAAAGTCCATGGAGAATAAGAGCACTTCCTCCCAGCTGCCCACTGCACTGAGGCTAGGAAACACTATCACCACCGATAAATCTACAATAATCGAGAATTTCAACAAGCATTTTGCTACAGCTGGCCATGCTTTCCATCTGGCTACCACTACCCCGGCCACCAACTCTGCACCCTCTGCTGCAACTTGCCCATGCCCCCCCCGCTTCTCCTTCACACAAATTCAGACAGCTGATGTTTTGAAAGCGCTGCAAAATCTGGACCCCTACAAATCAGCTGGGCTAGACAATCTGGACCCTTTCTTTCTAAAACTAGCCGCCGAAATTGTCGCAACCCCTATTACTAGTCTGTTCAACCTCTCTTTCATAACGTCTGAGATCCCCAGAGATTGGAAAGCTGCCGCGGTCATCCCCCTCTTCAAAGGGGGTGACACTCTAGATCCAAACTGCTACAGACCTATATCCATCCTGCCCTGCCTTTCGAAAGTATTTGAAAGCCAAGTTAACAAACAGATCACCAACCATTTCGAATACCACCGTACCTTCTCCGCTATGCAATCCGGTTTCCGAGCTGGTCATGGGTGCACTTCAGCCACGCTCAAGGTCCTAAACGATATTATAACCGCGATTGATAATAGACAGTACTGTGCAGCCGTCTTCATCGACCTGGCCAAGGCTTTCGACTGTCAACCACCGCATTCTTATTGGCAGACTAAATAGCCTTGGTTTCTCAAATGACTGCCTCGCCTGGTTCACCAACTACTTCTCAGATAGAGTTCAGTGTGTCAAATCAGAGGGCCTGTTGTCTGGACCTATGGCAGTCTCTATGGGGGTGCCACAGGGTTCAATTCTTGGGCAGACACTTTTCTCCGTGTATATCAATGATGTCGCTCTTGCTGCTGGTGACTCTCAGATCCACCTCTACGCAGACGACACCATTTTGTATACATCTGGCCCTTCATTGGACACTGTGTTAACAAACCTCCAAACGAGCTTCAATGCCATACAACAATCCTTCAGTAGCCTCCAACTGCTCTTAAACACTAGTAAAACTAAATGCATGCTTTTCAATCGAACGCTGCTGGCACCCGCCCACCCGACTAGAATCACCACTCTCGACGGGTCTGACCTAGAGTATGTGGACAACTACAAATACCTAGGTGTCTGGTTAGACTGTAAACTCAACTTCCAGACTCACATAAAGAATCTCCAATCCAAAGTTAAATCTAGAATCGGCTTCCTATTTCGCAACAAAGCCTCCTTCACTCATGCTGCCAAACATGCCCTCGTAAAACTGACTATCCTACCGATCCTTGACTTCGGCGATGTCATTTACAAAATAGCCTCCAACACTCTACTCAGCAAATTGGATGTAGTCTATCACAGTGCCATCCGTTTTGTCTCCAAAGCCCCATACACTACCCACCACTGTGACCTGTACGCTCTTGTTGGCTGGTCCTCACTACATGTTCGTCGTCAAACCCACTGGCTCCAGGCCATCTATAAATCACTGCTAGGCAAATCCCCGCCTTATCTTAGCTCATTGGTCACCATAGCAGCACCCACCCGTAGTCTGCGCTCCAGCAGGTATATCTCACTGGTCATTCCCAAAGCCAACACCTCCTTTGGCCGCCATTCCTTCCAGTTCTCTGCTGCCAATGACTGGAACGAATTGCAAAAATCTCTGAAGCTGGAGACTCTTATCTCCCTCAATAACTTTAAGCATCAGTTGTCAGAGCACCTTACCGATCACTGCACCTGTACACAGCCCATCTGAAATTAGCCCACCCAACTACCTCATCCCTATATTGTTATTTATTTTGCTCTTTTGCACCCCAGTATCTCTATTTGCACATAATCTCTTGCACATCTAGCATTCCAGTGTTAATACTATTGTAATTATTTTGCACTATAGCCTATTTATTGCCTTACCTCCATAACTTGCTACATTTGCACACACTGTATATATATTTTCTGTTGTATTTTTGACTTTATGTTTTTTACCCCATATGTAACTCTGTGTTGTTTTTATTGCACTGCTTTGCTTTATCTTGGCCAGGTCGCGGTTGTAAATGAGAACCTGTTCTCAACTGGCTTACCTGGTTAAATAAAGGTGAAATAAAAAAAATAAAAAAAACAAATTACGTCAGAGTCTCCAAAAGTCTCCAATAACACCAGAAAGAGTCGCTAGATTTGTCGCTAGTCTCTTTTTTGAAAATGTGTCGCTAGAGGGGTCTGGAAACTCGCTAAATATAGCGATAAAGTTGCTAAATTGGCAACACTGGCAGGTGCGAGCGTGTGTTTCACTGTCCAATCCGAGGCTCGAACATGATCTGAGTGCGTGATCTGAGGCTGTTTTTGGTCTCTTGCGCATCAACTTGGGAAAGCCTCAAGGGAGAGTGGACAGTGCATTATAAACAAAGCGCCGCATATATTTCCCCAAAAATAACATCTTATTTTTATTTTATATTTTTGCGGGGTGTGGAGAAAAGTAAGGCGGGGCATCCGTTAAACAGTAATTTAACTTTGTCCGGCCTTAGCAGTGTGGTTAAGGTTAGGTTTAAGGCCCAGTGCAGTCAAAAGTAATTTCCCTGTGTTGTGTATATCTACATTTCCACACTATGGAGGTTGGAATAATACTGTGAAATTGTGAAAATGATAATGCCCTTTTAGTGTAATTGCTGTTTGAAAAGGCCCCCTGAAATTTCAGCCTGTTGTGGTGGGATGGTGTTTTGGCACCAGGCGGTACATTTGTTTAGACCAATAAGAAAGTGTTCCAAACCTCTCTGCCAGCCAATAACAGCTAGTTTCCCCCTCCCCACTCAGACCCCTCCCTGACAGTCTTAGCAAAGTTCTTGCTTGAGAAATGTATCTTTGCTAAGAAGCTATTTTTGTTTCTGTTTGACCATTTTAATTGAAAACAATCACAGTAAGGTACTTAATTGTTACCCAGAAATGATTTGATATCAAGGTAAAAACAGCTGCATTGGACCTTTTAAATCAGATTTTAAGTAGAGAAATTGTAGAAATAGGTGGGTTTAGCCATAATTAAGACTTTGTGGCTGTGGTAACTAGTGACGACCTGAGGTTTTAGCGATAGACTGTTTTAGCCCTGTTTTAGCCCGTACCTTGGGACTGTTTTATCGTAGTTTTTAAAATGTATTTTATTATTTTTTTATCTGTGGATTTGAACAAAAAGTAAAAGATACAATGTTTCATGTTTCAATAAACCATAGTCATTGAGCAAAATCTGAAAGACACAAACGGTGTAATATGAGGGCACTAACATGTTCTCCCTTCATTCAAAACATCTGTTGCAGATTTCATGTCATCACAAATGATAATCTGAGTGACAAGAGGAGCCTATTTTAGTCAAATTCAACATTGCTATAGCAACACAAGCTTCAAAATCACTACACAGAACATAACTGGGACACAAATAAATGCCTACATCTCAGTTATATTTCTGAAATCTGGCTACTGAATTTAAACTGAATCCAGATATGACTCACATTTTAAAGGAGTATTTGTTAAAACACTAACTTGGCTGCCCTTCACCATTGTACTGTTGACACAAATTTGTAGTACATTCTTGTCTTTCGCCCACTTTTACCTCAGCTCAACCCATTAACAGTTCATGCAGAATTTGTTTTCAATAACTCAAAACCCCCATCATGAAGCACCCAAGCAGACTGGTGTAAGCCCCATCTTCACCTGGTTAGGCTTTGGTGGTCCCCAACTGTGAAGCCTGTTGACTCTGAAGCTGTTGGATCTTAATATTCATCACCTCAATAACAGCTAGAAGACAGAACAAAAAATACAGATAGGAAGGGATGAGCAAAATAGGTTCTATTGCATTTAAGTTAAATACTTATAATACAAATATTACAAACTTGTATGTATTTGTGTGTTACCTTGTTTCATGCCATGTTTCTCCTGCAGAGCCGGCTGAACCTTCTCTATCTGCTTGGTGAGGAAGTCTATTTTGCGCTTGAAAAACTCTTTTGTGTCATTGACATTCTGCAGAGATATTTCAAATGAGGCTTACAAACTCATATTATACAAAGACAGATTTCCAAATAGTTGTATTAACAAGCAAATAAATGTACATGGAACAGCAGAGTTGAACAAAATACAGTCGACTGACTCCTGGCCAAAAACCGAGTGAAATTTGTAGGAACGATCTTTCAGAATGTGCCCAATAAGAAATTGTTTTCCTTTTTCCATTGCTACAGTGTGCCTTCATGAACACGACCCTGATAAATGCAAAGGATTGGGTCATGTCAGCGTACACTAAATTAGAAGATATCCTTGCCCAGCCGGAGCAATAAAAAAATAATCGAATTGGGACTGGAAAACAGATTACTTACCCAAAGTGCACTTAAGTGTCGACTGTACAATGAAGGGTATTAGCAATTTGTTAATTGCTTTTCTGCCCACCTTTTCAACGTAGTATCCTGTCCCCACATCCACTAAGACATGTTCCACGTCATTAAGTGTTCCAGGGACATACATCTAATAGCAAGTGATGTTAAAAGGACAACAGGAAACTTCCAACAACAACACTATTAATAAATGCATACTGAATATATTGTAGCGAACTCGGGTCCAGTGACTGTCAAGCCAACAGCTTAACCGTTACGCCAAGAGGTCCGAACCTCTTGACGAGGTATTATAGGTGTTGGGTTAAGGTCGCTACACTACCCCCTTCCTTCGGGAGAGCATGTCCCCACTCTTCTCCATACCAAGTCCTTCACGTGTACATGCTTCTCCGATTGCCTCACAGGCACCATCCCACCAATGTAGCGAATTCGGGGGGTAGCCCCGACCGGAACACCTTAACTGTTACACCAAAAGGTCTGACCTCTTGACGAGGTCGTTAGGTATTGGGTTAAGGTCGCTACAATATAATGGCAGAGAAGGTGCTGTGGTCTCATTTACATGTTTTAAATACTGTATTTAACAATGCACCTTCAATCAATCTCAAATTAGAATAATCAAGTGTGTTGAATGTGAGAAAATGAGATTGCTGGTATGTTTGTAGACTAGGAGACTTTCAGTAGACAAAAGTAAAAAAATAAATGTTTTATTATTTTGGCATCTCCGATCAGTAACATAAGGATACAGAGCTTGTGAGGGGCACCAGCAATTCTTTTCCTAAAAGAAAAGGTCAAATGTAAATTATCTATTGAGTGTGTCATACCTTCAAACACCAATGTGGGGTGAGATCTTCATCAAAGATAATTTCAATCAATTTATTTCAGTATCTGTAAAAGCTTCCATACAAAACAAAAACTGAACAAAACATAGGATGCATACAAAGCATTAACCATGTTTGCCAGTGTAGGTTGAGCAGCTCACCTGCATTGTTTTTGTTGAGGACACTCAAACTGTCCTTAGCTTCTACATATTTAGTCTGGACAACTTTGAGCTGACCTATAGATGAGGTCAAAAACTCTGTCTCCTGCAAAACATGGAAGAAAGAATCAGATGATGCAATTTAGACATTCCAGACACATTATTTGCAGTAATTTCATTCATGACCATTGAGGAAGTAAAGAACTAAGTACACCTGGCCCAAACATATTGCATGTCACCGGAAGGCCAAAAAGATAATCAAGGACATCAACCACCCGAGCCACTGCCTGTTCAACCCGCAATCATCCAGAAGGCGAGTTCAGTACAGGTGCATCAAAGCTGGGACAGAGAGACTGAAAAACAGCTTCTATCTCAAGGCCATCAGACTGTTAAATAGCCATCACTAGCACATTAGAGGCTGCTGCTGCCTATAGAAATCATTGGCCACTTTAAGAAATGGAACACTAGTCACTTTAATAATGTTTACATATCTTGCATTACTCATCTCATATGTATATACTGTATTCTATAATGTTCTACTGTATCTTAGTCCATGCCGCTCTGTCATTGCTCGTCCATATCTGTATATATTCTTCATTCCATTCCTTACTTAGATTTGTGTGTATTGGGTATATGTTGTGAAATTGTTAGATATTACTTGTTAGATATTACTGCACTGTCGGAGCTAGAAGCACAAGCATTTCGCTACACCCACAATAACATCTGCTAAACACGTGTATGTGACAAATAAAATTTGATTCGATTTGATTTGATTGCTTATATCAATATTGGCCTGAAATAAAGGAGCAACATTATTATATTCTACTGCCATTTACTTTATGTTCGTAATTCTGATATTTTATATATTTTTTATTGTCGTTGCATTGTTGAGAAGGAACCTACAAGTAAGCATTTCGTTGGACGATGTACAGTATAACATGCGTATCCCGTACATACGACTAATAAAACTTGAACATGGGGACGCTAGCTACATGAGATCATGTAGGAAAGAAACTGAGCATGAATGGACACTAGACAGCATTCCAAAACATCTTAGCATTTAGCTACAAAATTGTAACGTGATAGCTCCATACAGCGTTACGGCTTAGCTACTGTAAAGTGTAGCAAGGAACTTTTCAACTTACCTGTTCTTGGCAATACTTTCTTCATTCTCGATTCGGGAAAAAATGTGTATCTTAAAAAATGGCAGTGTCCGGTTGCAGGTGGTTCTACAAAAAACAAAGAACATTCGTAAAGATATTAAATCCGTGGTTTGAACCGCGCAAGCATTTCCCAGCATCTTTGCAGGAACTAGTCGTTTCTAAGCGACATGGATTCAATATCTTTCTGAATTTTCTCTGTTTTTTGTAGAACCACCTCCAACTGGACAGGATATTTATAAGATACTTTTTTTTCCCCCGAATCAAGAACGAAGAAAGTATTGCCAAGAACATTTGTGTATTCATTGACTGTTTGCTTGTTTCTGTTTCTCGAAGATGGCATCGGAGATTTAAATTGGCACATGCGCACTGAGTCGCCATCTTAGAGAAACAGAAACCAGCAAACAGTCGGTGGTTGTATTTGATTAACATTTATTGAAAAAGTATGGATTTCAGCTGCACTGGGGTCAGAACGCAATCATGGTTACATTAAGACACCGTGGAGCAGGCGCTAGATATGGGTTGGAAAAGGTATCCCATCCCTGCATTGAGGTACGTTTTCCCACCCATATCTCGCACAGGCTCCACGGTGTCTTAGGCTGTCTACACTTGACACTTGCATGCGACTTCTGCTATCAGAATACGAAGATCACATTGAAAAGACAGGTCTAGATGCACAAAAGTAGCTATTTGCAATCCCTTTTAACTTTGCTAGCTAGCTTGCTGGCTAGTTAGGGACAGATAGCAATTTACTGGGGGGAGGGGTGGTCCAAAATAGGGGAGGGTTGTCAAACGTAATTTTTTGCTTTGGGGAGGATTGTGTGTTTTTTTTATTGGGCACAGGGGAGGGTATTGCGTTTTTTTCCTGGTTAACATGGACTCTTTTGCAGGTTTTACTATACAATTTCTTCCATGCTAGCCACATTTCCTCACCTGCTTGCATGCGCCTCCCCTATATCAAGGTGTTTTGGTACTTCCCTTATGCGCTACGCTTTTCCGTGTGCTAACTTTTACTATACCACAGGTCAGTATAGCCTACCCTTTATCCACAATTCAGTGACAAAAGTGGTAGGTGGATCGTTTGTCCAGATCTGCAATAGGCTAACTAGCAATCATACCACACATAAAAGCATTCAAAGCTGCATCGATTTTCAATATGAATCGACAAGAACAAATAGGAATAGCTGATATGCAGTGGAGAGGCCAGGTGCATCATTGCTCATGAAAAAACAGTGAAGACATTAAACACACAGCTCAAAAAGCTCCCCTATTGATCTTGTTTAGGGACAATACAATTATCCTACAACACCACAATGCAATGAATAATTGCATTATTTTTATTAAGTGAGTACAAAATTCTACTACTATAGGCTGAAGTGAAAATGCCATTTGAATAACGGTGCAAAAGCCCTGTGATTTGAATGTTTCATTCGATTTGGGTCTACTCTCGACAGTTTATAAGGTCTAGAAAGGCCAGTCTGGCTGTATTTTTACTTCTGATACTGAACGTGCTGTCTGTTTCAGATCAGATCATTCTCCCAAGTCGTCCTACTGTATAATAATGTGGCCACATATGCTCCCGGCAGGCCCAGTTATTCAGGAAAGCTTAACATGCTCTGCCTCCTCTCCAATCCGAGCAGCTATTCCTCACGCACCTAGAACCAAACGCTTCAATATAGCCTAAATACTGTATTTATCGTTTCACTTTTAAAATGTATTACCTTTAATATGTGGCATAAACACAACCAGTCACAATGATTTAATTCGGATTAGGCTACTTCTAAAGTTTCCTGTAGGCATGCGCACGTTCATCTAAAATGGCTTGACATTAACCAGGTCTCCATCCAAACTTTTTATGCGAGTAAAGTAGCCTATATGTCAGATAAAAAATGTCATGGCATCATGGGAAAGTGCACAGTGATTAGGTTGATGCTCCTTTCAATAGATTTCTAGGGTCTTATTCTGGTGACATAATGATCGATGCTTGGCTGCCATTTGACAATAAAAATAGTCTCGCACTTCTGTCCATAATTATCTCATCATATAGTAGGCTATACCTGCAATGTATCTGCAAGCTGTTGGCTAGAGCGCACATGCCAATACCAGAGTGGGCACATTTCGTATACCTACGAAACATTTGTCACAAAACCATCCGTAGGCCTAGAGTTGAAAATGCGATGGAAACCCATGGGAATTTAACCTCAAAAGTTATTTTTATGTGCACTAAGTATTTACAGACAAACTTATCTGCAACAAGTCAATTTGATGGAAACATAACTCTGATAGGAAAATGCGCCGGGGCTTCCCTTAGCCGGTAATTGCGGCTTTTGGACGATAAAAAAATGAAAAGCCAATAAATAAAATTGCAGTGGGCGAAATTGTCCAGGAGAGGCTGTCGTCTAGCATAGTCTATATTTTATGTTTTAATCATTTAGCAGACGCTCTTATCCAGAGCGACTTACAGGAGCTATTAGGGTTAGGTGCCTTGCTCAAGGGCACAGACAGATTTGTTCACCTAGTCCAGTCTGGGATTCAATGTTCTTAACCACTAGGCTACTTGCCACTAGGCTACCAACACCCCGAATTCGCGCTTCAGCATCATTCTCTCATGCCTTGCGCACACGTGTGCCTGCTGCTGAGGAGAGAGAGAGCAACAGAGGAGGCTACTGTTGATTGTGAAGATGGAGGCCTTTTTCATTGAAGTAAAACAAAAATTTGAGGAAAAAGAGTATGCTTATAGTGAAAAGCCTACAAGGGGAATTTAATACGTTTTAATATTGTAGTGGGCTAAGATGAGAAGAATGTTAGCATGGCCAAATGCAGGCTACTGTGCAACTCCCTATTCAGGTAGGATGCAATTTTGGTACTTTATAATAATAATAATTATTATTATTATTGTATATCACTATAAGCCTATTTATTAATGAAATCAGTTTAAATATGCAAAACCTGTTTTGTTTAATTCGGTTGAGATATTTTCATTAGCTAAATTAAATTCAAGCTGTCTTTTTAATTGTGTACTCCGTATTTAGTCTGTTGTAAACCAGTTTGCAAGTGTTTTATTTCATTCTGTTGAGCCATTTTCTTTGGCTAAATTAAGTTTAAACTGTAATGCTGTGTTTGCCGCAATATAATAGCCTGATCATATTTTCCCTATAAACAATGGCTTGACTTACTTTTGATATTACCCTGATAAGGTTTACTAACTTTTGTGAAGGTTTGGTGTGGTGTGGCCACACCAGTCATAATGGGACCCATGTCGTCCAAAAAGTTGTACTTTTGACTCATCTGTCCAATGAACATTCTTCCAAGAGTCTTGATGATCATCCAGGTGCTTTTTGGCAAACTGGAGTCAACGTTTTGGACGAGATGGGTCCCATTATGTCTGGCAAAAACCAAACACTGCATTCCACAGTAAGAACCTCATACCAACGGTCAAGCATGGTGGTGGTAGTGTGATGGTTTGGGGATGCTTTGCTGCCTCAGGACCTGGACGACTTGCCTTAACAGAAGGAACCATGAATTCTGCTCTGTATCTGAGAATTCTACAGGAGAATGTCAGGCCATCCGTCTGTGAGCTGAAGCACAGCTGGGTCATGCAGCAAGACAATGATCCAAAACACACAATCAAGTCTACATGAAAATGGTTAAAAAGCAACACATTTGAAGTTTTGGAATGGCCTAGTCAAAGTCCAGACCTAATCCCAATTGAGATGTTGTGGCAGGACTTGAAACAAGCAGTTCATGCTTGAAAACAAACAAATGTCGCTGAGGTACAGCAGTTCTGCATGCAAGTGTGACAAAATTCCTCCACAGCGATGTGAGAGACTGATCAACAACTACAGGAAGCATTTGGTTGCAGTCATTTCAGCTAAAGGTGGCACAACCAGTGTAAGGGGGCAATTACTTTTTCACACAGGGGCATTAGGTGTTGCATAACTTTGTTAATTAAATAAAATAATTATCCATTTTTTTGTCATTCGTAAACTCAGGTTCCCTTTATCTAATATTAGGTTTTGGTTGAAGACCCGATAACATAAAGTATCAAAAATATGTAAAAATTTAGAAAAACAGAATGGGGACAAATACTTTTTCAGGGCACTGTATACATCTAGATTTTGAACAGGATTATCTATTTTGGATGCAATTTATGGATATAGAAAGACTATGACAGAGTGCTCACTGACTTAAAGCAACAATATTCAGCAGAGAAAAATAATCATCTTTACAAAAAATAAATTAGGTGATCCCTGAAAGCCAGATGGAGATGTGTACTTTAGTCCTTATATTATTGTAACATATGCTACAGCAAATGTAGGGACCACAATGGAAATAAGTCCGACTTTAATATGCAATCCTGGTCACTTAAATTATTTTTTTTACTGACAAATTAAATCCAACAACCTATCAATCCAAACTGTGCAGCGCAATTTGATGAATGGAAAGAGACATCTGTTACAAAACACCAAAAAGTTTAATGACAATTCGGAGATTGTCAAACCAAGCGTTTGATACTGGGTAAGCCTACAAGGTAGGGAGGGATGTGTTTTTTGTTTGTCGAGATTGACAGTCTATTTATTGTGGTGTTGAAAACGCAAACCAAGATATTGAAGTGTCCGAAGTCGGTATGTTTTGTTTATTGGTTGTGTGGTGCATTTGCACTGAAACCTGTTGGTAGAAAATGTGTTGCATATATTTTATATAATTATGGCATCAAAATGTTGAACATTTGATTTCTCCTAGCTGATCTGATCATTGTCTGCAACTGGCTCTGATCGTGAGGTAATGAAAGCGGCATGGAGTTAGCTCGTCTGTGGTGGTCGGCGAATCCTCAACCTTCTGGCCCGTAGACCTGCGTGGCATCGATTGCCGCAAAATCATGCTTAAGTGTTAGTTATTATTTGTGGGCTACGGGCCAGAGGTTAGTTGGCTAGTTAACTACAGTAGTTGGCTACTGCCATCAAGTTGTTGTTGTGTTATCAGACTTCGCCTGTTTCACCGTTTGCAGAATGCATACAAGCATTTTAATATAAACTAGAGCGGGAAAAAGGGAATCCGGACACCATAGACATTTAAATGTAGGTGTAGACGCATGACCTGTTCGGAATTCCATGATCAGAATACGAAAGCTGCATGAACTGTCAAGTGTAGACACAGCCTCATTGTAACCATAATTGCATCAGCTCGGTGTAAACAAGTGTAATGGTCGGATCAGAATCTTCTGCCAACCGGTAACGTAGATAGCTAGTTACTCAGATGGCATGGCTGGCACAAGCAAACACTTGGGCAAGTAGAAAATAATGTCCCCAGAATGACTTTACACTTCAACTAAGATTCAAGATCCCTCTGTTACCTGCTCAAGTTGAGTCTTTAGTCCCTCCAACTGAGGAAGAGAAAGCTCTGTCAGATTCACCGCCATGTTAAAAATGTGAGACAAATCAGAATTACCTTTCCCGACACACGTATTTCCAGTTTGAGAAAACATCCTTTTCATTGAAGATGCAGATGTAGTGACATACTGCCCCCTGCTGAGCTGGAGCATAAATGCAATTCCTTTCAACACCTAAGTGCAAGGATTGTTTGGCAAATATACTGCATTTTTATTGACAAACATGTATTAATACATTTATGTACACATTTCACTAGCATTCAAAAGTGAAAATCAAAGGATACAGCATTGTTTACATTTAAGAAGGCAGCCTTGGCCGATAATACACACAAGCAAGTTTAAAATCACATCCTCCAATTTATGTTTTGGGAATCAATGGCTTCGAATCAGTGCTGTTATTAAATTAATTAAAGTTTGTGTGTGTGTCTGGGGATGTCCTCATCCTATCGCAGATAGATGGGGAGTCCGTAGACCACAGGTGCTTGAGGTATGTGGCCTGGCTGGACGGGGCCATGTGGTCCAGGAGTGGAGCCCTGGGGCCTGCAGACAGCCAGGACTCCAGCAGAGCCTTGGTGAAGCTATCAATGTCCCGGTCCATCACATCCCAAAGGCTCCCCAGAACCAACGGGCTACAGGCCAGAGAGGAGACAGATAGACATACAGTTGAAGTCGGAAGTTTACATACACATTAGCCAAATACATTTAAACTCAGTTTTTTCCACAATTCCTGACATTTAATCCTAGTAAAAATTCCCTGTCATAGGTCAGTTAGGATCACCACTTTATTTTAAGAATGTGAAATGTCAGAATAATAGTAGAGAGCTTTTATTTCTTTCATCACATTCCCAGTGGGTCAGAAGTTTACATACACTCAATTCGTATTTGGTAGCATTGCCTTTAAATTGTTTAACTTGGGTCAAACGTTTCGGGTAGCCTTCCACAAGCTTCCCACAATAAGTTGGGTGAATTTTGGCCCATTCCTCCTGACAGAGCTGGTGAAACTGAGTCAGGTTTGTAGGCCTCCTTGCTCACACATGCTTTTTCAGTTCTGTCTACAAATGTTCTATAGGATTGAGGTCAGGGCTTTGTGATGGCCACTCCAATACCTTGACTTTGTTGTCCTTAAGCCATTTTGCCACAACTTTGGAAGTATGCTTGGGGTCATTGTCCATTTGGAAGACCCATTTGCGACCAAGCTTTAACTTCCTGACTGATGTCTTGAGCTGTTGCTTCAATATATCCACATAATATTCCTTCTTCATGATGCCATCTATTTTGTGAAGTGCACCAGTCCCTCCTGCAGCAAAGCACCCCCACAGCATGATGCTGCAACCCCTGTGCTTCACGGTTAGGATGGTGTTCTTCGGCTTGCAAGCCACCCCCTTTTTCCTCCAAACATAACGATGGTCATTATGGCCAAACAGTTCTATTTTTGTTTCATCAGACCAGAGGACATTTCTCCAAAAAGTATAATCTTTGTCCCCATGTGCAGTTGCAAACCGTAGTCTGGCTTTTTTATGGCGGTTTTGGAGCAGTGGCTTCTTCCTTGCTGAGCGGCCTTTCAGGTTATGTCGATATAGGACTCGTTTTACTGTGGATATACCGGTAGATACTTGTGTACCTGTTTCCTCCAGCCTCTTCACAAGGTCCTATGCTGTTGTTCTGGGATTGATTTGCACTTTTCTCACCAAAGAACGTTCAACACTCTACTCAGCAAATTGGATGTAGTCTATCACAGTGCCATCCGTTTTGTCTCCAAAGCCCCATACACTACCCACCACTGTGACCTGTACGCTCTTGTTGGCTGGTCCTCACTACATGTTCGTCGTCAAACCCACTGGCTCCAGGCCATCTATAAATCACTGCTAGGCAAATCCCCGCCTTATCTTAGCTCATTGGTCACCATAGCAGCACCCACCCGTAGTCTGCGCTCCAGCAGGTATATCTCACTGGTCATTCCCAAAGCCAACACCTCCTTTGGCCGCCATTCCTTCCAGTTCTCTGCTGCCAATGACTGGAACGAATTGCAAAAATCTCTGAAGCTGGAGACTCTTATCTCCCTCAATAACTTTAAGCATCAGTTGTCAGAGCACCTTACCGATCACTGCACCTGTACACAGCCCATCTGAAATTAGCCCACCCAACTACCTCATCCCTATATTGTTATTTATTTTGCTCTTTTGCACCCCAGTATCTCTATTTGCACATAATCTCTTGCACATCTAGCATTCCAGTGTTAATACTATTGTAATTATTCTGCACTATAGCCTATTTATTGCCTTACCTCCATAACTTGCTACATTTGCACACACTGTATATATATTTTCTGTTGTATTTTTGACTTTATGTTTTTTTACCCCATATGTAACTCTGTGTTGTTTTTATTGCACTGCTTTGCTTTATCTTGGCCAGGTCGCAGTTGTAAATGAGAACCTGTTCTCAACTGGTTTACCTGGTTAAATAAAGGTGAAATAAAATAAAATAAAAAATAAAATCTCTAGGAGACAGAACGCATCTCCTTCCTGAGCGGTATGACGGCTGCGTGGTCCCATGGTGTTTATACTTGCGTACTATTGTTTGTACAGATGAACGTGGTACCTTCAGGCATTTGGAAATTGCTCCCAAGGATGAACCAGACTTGTGGAGGTCTACAATTCTTTTTCTGAGGACTTGGCTGATTTATTTTGATTTTCCCATGATGTCAAGCAAATAGGCACCGAGTTTTAAGGTAGGCCTTGAAATACATCCACAGGTACACCTCCAATTGATTCAAATGATGTCAATTAGCCTATCAGAAGCTTCTAAAGCCATGACATCATTTTCTGGAATTTTCCAAGCTGTTTAAAGGCACAGTCAACTTAGTGTATGTAAATGTCTGATCCACTGGAATTGTGATACAGTGAATTATAAGTGAAATAATCTGTCTGTAAACAATTGTTGGAAAAATGACTTGTGTCATGCACAAAGTAGATGTCCTAACCGACTTGCCAAAACTATAGTTTGTTAACAAGAAATTAGTGGAGTGGTTGAAAAACAAGTTTTAATGACTCCAACCTAAGTATATGTAAACCTCCGACTTCAACTGTAAATGCAATACATGTCAAAATCACACACAGACAGGCAAGTTCATCTAGGATTTATTTTGTTAGTTTATGACAGTAAAACAGAATACATGAAATGCCCTCATTTGCAATGATTTCTGAAACAATTATGAAAGCCTGGTTTGTCTCTTGATCTTTACAGGTGTGTGTGTGCCAGTCTTATCAGCCAGCCATGAGGTAGTTGAGGATGATGCCTGTCCCCTCCAGCTCCCCTCGTACTGCCAGCCAAAGAGCATGGAGGCAGCTCTCATCTCCTTCTTCGGGATCCTCTGCCAGTCCAGGAACTGTAAAAGGCATCTGGCAGAAGTAAATTCATCCAAAACACAAATATAGTTTGTGACCGCATTTTCACAAATTTGATTAAATAATCGTTAAGCCCATTCAGAAGATTAGAAGACAGAACCCGGAAGTATAACATAGGACAACGTAAAATATTTTTATGTGCAATGATGTCCGAGGGGGAAAGAAACAGTGTTTGTTGTTTGCAGTAACTTCTTTATTATTATTGTTATATTTTTTTTTTTAGGGGTTAGATCAGCTTAATATTGCAGATAGATTGTAACTTCCATCAATGTAATTGTCTGCATCACTTCCAATCCCCCATGTTTATATATATATATATATATATATATATACAGTGGGGAAAAAAAGTATTTAGTCAGCCGCCAATTGTGCAAGTTCTCCCACTTAAAAAGATGAGAGAGGCCTGTAATTTTCATCATAGGTACACGTCAACTATGACAGACAAATTGAGGGGAAAAAAATCCAGAAAATCACATTGTAGGATTTTTTATGAATTTATTTGCAAATTATGGTGGAAAATAAGTATTTGGTCACCTACAAACAAGCAAGATTTCTGGCTCTCACAGACCTGTAACTTCTTCTTTAAGAGGCTCCTCTGTCCTCCACTCGTTACCTGTATTAATGGCACCTGTTTGAACTTGTTATCAGTATAAAAGACACCTGTCCACAACCTCAAACAGTCACACTCCAAACTCCACTATGGCCAAGACCAAAGAGCTGTCAAAGGACACCAGAAACAAAATTATAGACCTGCACCAGGCTGGGAAGACTGAATCTGCAATAGTTAAGCAGCTTGGTTTGAAGAAATCAAGCTGCTTACCTATTGGGAGCAATTATTAGGAAATGGAAGACATACAAGACCACTGATAATCTCCCTCGATCTGGGGCTCCACGCAAGATCTCACCCCGTGGGGTCAAAATGATCACAAGAACAGTGAGCAAAAATCCCAGAACCACACGGGGGGACCTAGTGAATGACCTGCAGAGAGTTGGGACCAAAGTAACAAAGCCTACCATCAGTAACACACTACGCCGCCAGGGACTCAAATCCTGCAGTGCCAGACGTGTCCCCCTGCTTAAGCCAGTACATGTCCAGGCCCGTCTGAAGTTTGTTAGAGTGCATTTGGATGATCCAGAAGAGGATTGGGAGAATGTCATATGGTCAGATGAAACCAAAATATAACTTTTTGGTAAAAACTCACCTGGAAGACAAAGAATGCTGAGTTGCATCCAAAGAACACCATACCTACTGTGAAGCATGGGGGTGGAAACATCATGCTTTGGGGCTGTTTTTCTGCAAAGGGGCCAGGACGACTGATCCGTGTAAAGGAAAGAATGAATGGGGCCATGTATCGTGAGATTTTGAGTGAAAACCTCCTTCCATCAGCAAGGGCATTGAAGATGAAACGTGGCTGGGTCTTTCAGCATGACAATGATCCCAAACACACCGCCCGGGCAACGAAGGAGTGGCTTCGTAAGAAGCATTTCAAGGTCCTGGAGTGGCCTAGCCAGTCTCCAGATCTCAACCCCATAGAAAATCTTTGGAGGGAGTTGAAAGTCCGTGTTGCCCAGCGACAGCCCCAAAACATCACTGCTCTAGAGGAGATCTGCATGGAGGAATGGGCCAAAATACCAGCAACAGTGTGTGAAAACCTTGTGAAGACTTACAGAAAACGTTTGACCTGTGTCATTGCCAACAAACGGTATATAACAAAGTATTGAGAAACTTTTGTTATTGACCAAATACTTATTTTCCACCATAATTTGCAAAGAAATTCATAAAAAATCCTATAATGTGATTTTCTGGATTTTTTTTTCTCATTTTGTCTGTCATAGTTGACGTGTACATATGATGAAAATTACAGGCCTCTCTCATCTTTTTAAGTGGGAGAACTTGCACAATTGGTGGCTGACTAAATACTTTTTTCCCCCACTGTATATTGTATTGGCTCTCAAATGGCTAGAGGGAGATGTAAGGTGGAAACAACCTCCCCCCCATTCTGAAGAGGGACAGAAGGGAAGGGAAGAACACCTACCTCTGTTGCCATGTAAGTCATTTCTCTGCCAATGTTATTTGTTTGTCCATTGAATGATTGAGATATGGACACATACATGGTAAAGTGTTGCTCTATGTTTGACTGTATTGGTTCTCTTCCTTCCATTGATGAGTGTAAGGGTGAGATTGGTTCCTTAGGTTGTTATTGTTGACGACAGAAAGATGTCTTGAACTCATTTCCATTTTGGCCTAGTGACAGGAGAAAAGGAGGAGGGCCATGAGAGAATGTTGTCATAGTGGAGGAGGAGTTGAGTTTTAGACTTTGATTTGTGATCTTTTATTCGTCCTTGAGGAGTTGCTTTAAAAGAAGGCCAGATCGTTCCAACAGTAGAGCAGATCACGTCATTCACTCCCTAATGATACACTCCACCCTGAGAACAAACAGAACCAGGGAACGTGAGAGAGAAGAAAGAAGGGAGGAGTCCAGTGACCCCCTGAGTCATCATCTACTGGGTCTGCGAACAGAGTTATAGCCCACTGGAGAGTTACAGGGTGTGTGTGTGTTGGGCTGGACTGTAGAGAGGGAGCAGTCATTCTGACCACAACAGCCTTTATCCAGGAGGATCATCCACTACTTCACAGTCAGTCACCATGTCTCAGGTAAGACTACAGTGCTGGACTAGGGAGGGACATGTAGAGTTATGACATGATCTCACCAAAGAGCTCACTGAAACTTGCCTAGAAAGTTTCAGCCTAGGAAACCTACTGGAGAACTCTACATGGGATTTTAAAAAAATCTTTTTCGGCTTTCCATTTCTTCCATCTCTTCTTCTCCAGCCTGAAGACGGGGAGGAGGGACAGCTGAAGCGTCCTGAGGTGAGCGAGGAGGATCTGATCGGAGCGAAGGAAAAGCTGATCTCCAAAGGAGAGCTGAAGGGCAAGACCATAGAAGTGATGGAGGAGTGTGGTGAGCAGAGTGCCGCTTTTATTGGCATGACAATGGGATTAGGGCAGTATGTCCCAAACTCGGTGCACAGCTGATAAAAATTATCAAAGCTTGATGATTAGCTGATTATTTTAATCAGTTGTGTAGTGCTAGGGCAAAAAAACAAAATATTCACCCTTTGGGGTCCTGAGGACAGAGTTTGGGAAACCCTGGGTTAGGGGGTTAAGAATATTGGGCAGGAGTATGTAGTTAAAAAACCTCTGAAATCTGTTTGTCGTTTTTGTCGCTGATTTAAAGCGGCAATCAACAGTTGAAACTATAACAAAATATACTCCCCGCCCCTGTTTCGGTAAAAAGGCTGAGGGATGGGGCTGGAGAAATGTAACCAATCTCAAATTCATATACAGAGCTATGGATGCGAGGACTGGCTATCAAAATTATAGTTTGAACCATGTTGAGGCTAAATAGTGTTTGTTTACATTTATTTGTTTACAAACATTTGAATAGGACAAGCTTATATTATGGGTTATTATGGGATACGACAGTTTAATTAAGCTTGTGAGGCATTTATAAGTTATATTCTTCAAGAATCAATGGGTACATATTAATTAATAAGTTCAAGAATGGATGTAGCAACTGCTGATTGCCCCTTTAAGATTGGAAACACAAGTGTACATATAGAGAACCTGAGCTGCATTTAGACAGGTAGCTCAATTCTGATATTTTTTCCACTAATTGTTCTTTTGACCAATCAGATCTGATCTGTCAAAAGACCAATTAGTGAAAAAAAAGATCAGAATTGGGCTGCCTGTCTAAACACAGCCAGTGTTATAGAACAAGAGAGGGAGTTAGAGAGTAGAGGGGGCGTTCCTTACCGTGATGAAGTTTCCACTCCATATCCAGCACAGTTGAGGATGGTCAAGACAAGAGGGAGACTCACTGAACTGTCAAACACAGTGACCCTCTCCCTGCGGCATAAACTATGGATTTTTAGACATATCTACTGTATCACGTAGCTCTTCCACTTCAGAGTGATGGATGGATCTGTGTTGTGTTCACAGAGCGTGCGGGTAAAGTCGCCCCGTCTGTGTTCAGTGGAGTGCGTTCAGGGAGAGAGACCGCCTTCAACAAGCCCCAGGCTCGACAAATCAAGAAGTAGCAGAGGCAGCAAAGCCACTTCTTATACTCCAGCCTGGTCCATATTGAAAACCACACTGGTGTGACTAAATGTGCCTTTTATTAAAATCTTGAACCCTCATTCTGTCAGGAGTCTGATTGTCAAGAAAGGAGTTTAAGTGGGCATTAACTGGACCTCAGTTGAGTAGGCTGTATTGGTTCTGTGTGAATATATTTGAGCTGTTCAGCTATACACCTTTGGTGCTCATTTAGAAGTGGATGTTCTCATCATTATGCTAAGAAGCATCTCTTTGCCATTTCCAGTCCTTTACTGTAGCAGTTAGCTCTAGCTAGTGCAGTCCAGTTAGTCTAACTATTCCAGCCTTTACTGTATCAGTTAGCTCTAGCTAGTGCAGTCCAGTTAGTCTAACTATTCCAGCCTTTACTGTATCAGTTAGCTCTAGCTAGTGCAGTCCAGTTAGTCTAACTATTCCAGCCTTTACTGTATCAGTTAGCTCTAGCTAGTGCAGTCCAGTTAGTCTAACTATTCCAGCCTTTACTGTATCAGTTAGCTCTAGCTAGTGCAGTCCAGTTAGTCTAACTATTCCAGCCTTTACTGTATCAGTTAGCTCTAGCTAGTGCAGTCCAGTTAGTCTAACTATTCCAGCCTTTACTGTATCAGTTAGCTCTAGCTAGTGCAGTCCAGTTAGTCTAACTATTCCAGCCTTTACTGTATCAGTTAGCTCTAGCTAGTGCAGTCCAGTTAGTCTAACTATTCCAGTCCTTTACTGTATCAGTTAGCTCTAGCTAGTGCAGTCCAGTTAGTCTAACTATTCCAGCCTTTACTGTATCAGTTAGCTCTAGCTAGTGCAGTCCAGTTAGTCTAACTATTCCAGCCTTTACTGTAGCAGTTAGCTCTAGCTAGTGCAGTCCAGTTAGTCTAACTATTCCAGCCTTTACTGTATCAGTTAGCTCTAGCTAGTGCAGTCCAGTTAGTCTAACTATTCCAGCCTTTACTGTATCAGTTAGCTCTAGCTAGTGCAGTCCAGTTAGTCTAACTATTCCAGCCTTTACTGTATCAGTTAGCTCTAGCTAGTGCAGTCCAGTTAGTCTAACTATTCCAGCCTTTACTGTATCAGTTAGCTCTAGCTAGTGCAGTCCAGTTAGTCTAACTATTCCAGCCTTTACTGTATCAGTTAGCTCTAGCTAGTGCAGTCCAGTTAGTCTAACTATTCCAGCCTTTACTGTATCAGTTAGCTCTAGCTAGTGCAGTCCAGTTAGTCTAACTATTCCAGCCTTTACTGTATCAGTTAGCTCTAGCTAGTGCAGTCCAGTTAGTCTAACTATTCCAGCCTTTACTGTATCAGTTAGCTCTAGCTAGTGCAGTCCAGTTAGTCTAACTATTCCAGCCTTTACTGTATCAGTTAGCTCTAGCTAGTGCAGTCCAGTTAGTCTAACTATTCCAGCCTTTACTGTATCAGTTAGCTCTAGCTAGTGCAGTCCAGTTAGTCTAACTATTCCAGCCTTTACTGTATCAGTTAGCTCTAGCTAGTGCAGTCCAGTTAGTCTAACTATTCCAGCCTTTACTGTATCAGTTAGCTCTAGCTAGTGCAGTCCAGTTAGTCTAACTATTCCAGTCCTTTACTGTATCAGTTAGCTCTAGCTAGTGCAGTCCAGTTAGTCTAACTATTCCAGCCTTTACTGTATCAGTTAGCTCTAGCTAGTGCAGTCCAGTTAGTCTAACTATTCCAGCCTTTACTGTATCAGTTAGCTCTAGCTAGTGCAGTCCAGTTAGTCTAACTATTCCAGCCTTTACTGTATCAGTTAGCTCTAGCTAGTGCAGTCCAGTTAGTCTAACTATTCCAGTCCTTTACTGTATCAGTTAGCTCTAGCTAGTGCAGTCCAGTTAGTCTAACTATTCCAGCCGTGTCTATTTGTGTATCTGATAGAATAAGTACGCAAGCAACAATGACAAACATCTAATTTTCCATGTTTTCCTTTTTATTGAAAAAAATCACATTTTATTAACAACAAGCAAAGAACCGTAAAACATTTTTTTGATCAGAACATACACTACTACAGTCGATGAGGCACAGATGGGGCAGCTTGAGGGGGTCTCTGAACAAAAGGATGAGATGGCTGGAAAGAGGGATAAAATAAAGAAGAGCAGGATGAACTTTACATGAAGGAGAACGGGGAGAGAAAAAGAGACTGCCAGGGTGATGACTTTACAAACATGAGAGCCAATACAATATACAGTGAGGAAAAAAAGTATTTAGTCAGCCACCAATTGTGCAAGTTCTCCCACTTAAAAAGATGAGAGGGGCCTGTAATTTTCATCATAGGTACACATCAACTATGACAGACAAAATGAGGGGAAAAAATCCAGAAAATCACATTGTAGGATTTTTAATGAATTTATTTGCAAATTATGATGGAGAATAAGTTTTTGGTCAATAACAAAAGTTTCTCAATACTTTGGTATATACCCTTTGTTGGCAATGACACAGGTCAAACATTTTCTGTAAGTCTTCACAAGGTTTTCACACACTGTTGCTGGTATTTTGGCCCATTCCTCCATGCAGATCTCCTCTAGAGCAGTGATGTTTTGGGGCTGTCGCTGGGCAACACGGACTTTCAACTCCCTCCAAAGATTTTCTATGGGGTTGAGATCTGGAGACTGGCTAGGCCACTCCAGGACCTTGAAATGCTTCTTACGAAGCCACTCCTTCGTTGCCCGGGCGGTGTGTTTGGGATCATTGTCATGCTGAAAGACCCAGCCACGTTTCATCTTCAATGCCCTTGCTGATGGAAGGAGGTTTTCACTCAAAATCTCACGATACATGGCCCCATTCATTCTTTCCTTTACACGGATCAGTCGTCCTGGTCCCTTTGCAGAAAAACAGCCCCAAAGCACGATGTTTCCACCCCCCATGCTTCACAGTAGGTATGGTGTTCTTTGGATGCAACTCAGCATTCTTTGTCCTCCAAACACGACGAGTTGAGTTTTTCCCAAAAAGTTATATTTTGGTTTCATCTGACAATATGACATTCTCCAATCCTCTTCTGGATCATCCAAATGCACTCTAGCAAACTTCAGACGGGCCTGGACATGTACTGGCTTAAGCAGGGGGACACGTCTGGCACTGCAGGATTTGAGTCCCTGGCGGCGTAGTGTGTTACTGATGGTAGGCTTTGTTACTTTGGTCCCAGCTCTCTGCAGGTCATTCACTAGGTCCCCCCGTGTGGTTCTGGGATTTTTGCTCACCGTTCTTGTGATCATTTTGACCCCACGGGGTGAGATCTTGCGTGGAGCCCCAGATCGAGGGAGATTATCAGTGGTCTTGTATGTCTTCCATTTCCTAATAATTGCTCCCACAGTTGATTTCTTCAAACCAAGCTGCTTACCTATTGCAGATTCAGTCTTCCCAGCCTGGTGCAGGTCTACAATTTTGTTTCTGGGGTCCTTTGACAGCTCTTTGGTCTTGGCCATAGTGGAGTTTGGAGTGTGACTGTTTGAGGTTGTGGACAGGTGTCTTTTATATTGATAACAAGTTCAAACAGGTGCCATTAATACAGGTAACGAGTGGAGGACAGAGGAGCCTCTTAAAGAAGAAGTTACAGGTCTGTGAGAGCCAATAATCTTGCTTGTTTGTAGGTGACCAAATACTTATTTTCCACCATAATCTGCAAATAAATTCATTAAAAATCCTACAATGTGATTTTCTGGATTTTTTTCTTCTCAATTTGTCTGTCATAGTTGATGTGTACCTATGATGAAAATTACAGGCCTCTCTCATCTTTTTAAGTGGGAGAACTTGCACAATTGGTGGCTGACTAAATACTTTTTTTCCCCACTGTATATATATATATATATATATATATATATACACATATATACATACACAGATATACACACACACATACATACATACATACATACATACATACATACATACATATACACACATATACATACATATCCTTTAAAAATATATATATTCCCCTTTATTACTTTCCAACCCCACCACCCTTTCCCTAATTGGAGTAAACTAGTGAACAACAATGCTTAGGCCTCTACTTCCAACTTATACTTACTATATACATTTTATGGACACAGTCAATTTTACAATAATTATATTTTGTTTGTTTTTTCTCCTGAACTTCTTCTACTCTCAACCTCTCCGATCATTTTCATGATGTCCATCCGGTTTGCTTCTATATGCCATATCTTTCTATCTGTGCTCTTTCACAAAAGCTCCCAACCTACAACCTATATACTTATTATGGACACAGTATGCTTACATTATTAGTTATCTTGTTATTAGTTGTTGTTAGTTGTTATTAGTCCCATCCTTCAACTCCATTCAACACCACCCATCTATCTCTTAACACCATCCATATAGGATTTAAATTTGCCATATATTTTTCAACTGTACTGTGATGTTTTACAAAAGTTCTGAACCTTTCTATTCTCATTGTTTCTACAGATTGTAAATTGAAAATAAACATTTTTGCTATAAGTATAATTATATTATTGATTGATTGACTTTTCAGATCACCCAGTAATGCAGTAACTTCTTTGTTGTTGTTGTAATATCTTCACCATTAAGGATTCCAGCTTTAAGTAAGAACTGTTGAATTCTGACACCAATTCAAAGCGTCTAACATCTAGCATGATACAAGACATGAGAGAAACAAAATTTGATAGTGTGTGTGTAGTAAGGCATCCATTAACATCTCCGCTGTCATACACTTCTCCCTAACATGTAGAGGTCTTTGGCAGTCACAGCCTCCTGCAGTTGATCTGGGTCAGGAGCCACCACACACACCCTGCCAATGTCGCTCACTTAGGACAGAAAGAGAAAGAGAGAGAGAGAGAGAGAGAGAGAGAGAGGGATGGTGAGGAGGAGAGGGATTAATCAAATTATAAAGGACACAGAGATAAGGCCGACAAATAAAGCCCCCTGAAACAGTGCTGTTGGTACTGTACTCAACTGGTGAACCACTGTCTGAAGCGCTCCTCTGTGTCTCCCAAGTTGG